GGGGGGGGGGGGGGGGGGGGGGGGGGGGGTTTTGGATCTTGTGGTGGGGATTAAACTCCCTTAAACCAATGTTTGACAATTATGTATTTAGCTCAGGGTTTGAAATTCAGCCCGATCATGAAACCCAAGGAGAGGTGGATTTCATACGTGGGTTAATGAGGTTGACATGTAAATGATATTTATATCCTCATATATACAAATTGGTTAAGGGACACAATAATCATTTATATATAAATATATTATTATAATATTCATATATCTATGCGCATACCTAACATGGGTATGAACAATATTAAATGTTGAATCTCATTTTTGAGTTTGGACAAGTCAATTCAAAATCATCCCAAAAAACATACCAAACAACCCTTAAGGGTGTGTTTGGATAGCAATGGATAGAATTTTTTGTATCCTAACTCATTTCACTTAAACCCATTCAAACACTTAATTGGATGGGTTATGTATGCCATCCAACTCAAGTCATTATTTGGCAAAAACAATTGAATTGGATGGACTTCACTTTGAACTTTATAGACATTTATTATTGTACCCATTGATATGAAGACCATAAAACACTAGAAAATTGAGGAAGTTTTGCATAGACGGGAAAAGCATAGGAGTAATACCCCACCACCACCACAACAGAAATGCCGCCACCATTGCCACAATAGAAACTCCACCACCATCGTCACAACAGAAATAGCGCCACCACAATAGAAACACCAAAGACCACCACCACCGCCACAACAGAAACATCCACCACCATCACCACATAAATGATTCAAATTTGAAAGACAGAGAGGAGAATTAGGGTTTTAAAATTACCCACCATCACATTAAATTTGAGAGATAGAGAAATTAGGGTTCAAAATCATCCACCATCGTGGTGGTGCAGGGGTGACTGTGCATGATTGAGGTTAGGGGTGGTGCATATGAAATTCTCTTCTTCATTTGGTCCACTCAGGCACCCAATTCCATCCCAACAGAACCGTGGGCTTGGGCTTTGTCGCCTTTAGAGAGAGAGAGAGAGAGAGAAAGAGAGAGACAGACAGAGCTCTAGTATTCGTTACCTTCACAAAGCGAGACAGAGAACTCTCAAGAGAGGAGGTAGGTAAATATGTCATTACCCCTTCATAACCTATCGGCTGGAATTGAAACCCATAGGAGAGTTGGGTTAATTTTAACCCATGTAGCAGAATTAAAAACTATTGTAACATCCGGGTCAAGGATAGACCCGAAATTTATATCCTGACTATTTTTTGCTTTTCAAACAAAGGTTTTGTGGGACCCATTACCTTATTACCCTATCCTTATGGAGGGTAACCCACCTTAACCCAATACTCATACACACCCTAAAGATTTGTCAAGTGAGTAATATAAATCAAGTTGTACGATAGTCCGTCTGCTTTGACCTTCGACCAAACAATGATCGCCGGTTTTTCGCTAACTGAAAATGTCAAGTGATCCACATGTTATTTCCTTCTTTTCAGCATCTCCCTTCGATCTTCTCTAGCTAATTACCATCCATTCCATCGGTGTAACTGGGAAGACATTCATGGTGTGATGTGTTCTTGGTATGATCCTATTTGTAGCAAGTGTACATTATGTATTATCGAACGAGAAAACAACTCATTGATCGGGTTATTTGGGTGACAGATATTTAGTGGTTAATATCTTAAAAGTTTAATGTTCGAGTCTCATCCGATATATATTACTTACAAGTGATTAATTGCATTTCCAGATTAAAATAATAAAAATAGATGGTAAACCCAAAAAATCAAAGCATACCAAGTGGTGTGAAGCCTAAGCTATAGACAGGGAAAGTCCCTTAATGTGCCTAACAATCATCCAAGTCTTTAAATAGACCTAATCATCACTATGTATAGTCAATATGCATAGAATAATAGTGAAAAAAACTTTGAAGGAAATAACATAAATCAAAGTGTACGATTGTCCATTTCCATTGACTTTTAACCAAATAATGATCATCTATCTTTCTTTAACTCAAAAATGGAAATGACCCACATGCTATTTCCTTGTGTATTGCACCTCCTTTACCAGCCATTCCATCCCAGTCCAGGATGCAAATCTGTACAGATGCAGGATGTGAAGTGTTTAAGAGGTTAGTGGTGCAAATGAGACAGGTTGGTTGGGTTGAGACTTGAAAATTCAATCTAAATCAGAAAATCTAAATCCAAACTCAACTTCTATCCGAGTACTACCATATTAGACAAAAAGTGAAACCTTACTTTGAAAAAGAAGGTGTAAGAGTGCCAAAATTGTTCGTTTTTTTGCTTGTTCACTGATCCAACTTCCTTTTGAACTTGACCTGAATTTGACATATCCATTCTTGATTGAAATTTATGTTCAGATCTTAGATTCAATTTTGTTTTTAACAAGCTCACATTTTCAACTGCCTATTTTTGACAATCCTTGGAACAATCTATGCAAATCCTCCCCCAAAAGTACCCTTTATGATCCGGCATTTTTAGGATTATGTATACTTAATGTCACTTGCAATGGCTTGTGGGGCTTATTATTTAGCTATATTATTTTCTGCAAAGAAATGGGCATTTCACATGGAATTTCTTGATTGCCATCTTCCATGATCTTCTAAGCAAACCCAAATCCAATAAACAAAAGCTTAGAAGTACATGGAAAAAAGAATTAAAAAATACAATACATCTATATAATAAAACAAGAGTGTGTTTGAATTTTATTCAATTATATTTTTTCCCTCAAAACTATCACCGATCACTTACCTCACTCATCATCCCTTTGGTCAGACTCAAACGTCAAATCACATCACTCATATCTATCACATATTTAATCATTTATATATTTTCTCCCTAAAAATATCACATTACTCATTTTTATCATATATTTAATTATTTAATATTTAATTAATATATTTTAAAAAAATTTAATATAATAAAATCAATTTTTTAAACGCTCGAATTTTATATTTTATCGTATCTTCGGACATGATTTATAACTAGTCGGTCAATAAAACTTAATAGACCCCACGACGTAGATACCAATGCAAAGTTGGACTAAACTATTATGGAAAACCAGAAACCCTTGTGGGTTTTAACTGTTGAGGCAGTTGCTGCAGAAACCAGTTGCAATAAATTATAGGGCTCACAGAGAGAGAAATTTTGCTTGCATCACAATATACAGTTACTAAAAAAGCAACTGATCTGCTCAGCCTATTCTAACTAGCTGTTCGAGAGATAGAGATAGAGAGATGATACAAGAACCAATGGGGGCCAAACTTCTAAGAAATTGACACTACTGAATAGCACAGATAAATAAGCAAAGAAGCAATGCTATAATTACTAAAGTTTTTATTAAAAAGTATTTTTATCAAATTAATTGACAATTTCTGCTTAGCATTTGGTGAGTTCAAAAGTAAAATGGGACTGGGACTGCCAACTCTTTTGATCAAAACATTTTTTAGTAAAAATTTTGGTAAGTATAGTATTACTCTAAATAAAAACCCTTAATGGGTTATGCTGTATTTGGCATTTATGCCAGCAACCGGCGTGAGTAAATTGTAGGGAGACCCACTAAAAACTGTGATCATACAAGGAGAAAATGTTTAATGCAATAATAATATAACATCATTTACTATTATATGATATCATCAACTAATTATAAACCGACCGCATCAACTTTGTCAATTCTATTTACTTGAATAACTACTATATTAGATTAGTATGATTTAGTAGACGTATTGGATGATTTTCACTGACTTGTAATATCATATATTAATATTGACGTGATATCAACATTGTATTGAATATCGATGTGAAATTTTTAATTTTACTTTCGTTTCTTTTAAAATTCAAAATTTCTTCTTTATGTAAGCGCCACATTCTGTTAGCCAATCAAGCATAACCCTAACTCATTTAATGCATAAACTATTATGAACAATACTATTGAGACTTAATTACTGACATAATTTACTAACCTAATTCACTGTAATCTTTGAATTCACTCTAGATCCCACCAAATATTGAAACTTAGTGTTGATCCAATGAATCTTGTAAAGCCACATCATTATGTCAATAAATTAGGTCAAATTTTTAGATCCAAATAGTATTACTGAAGTATTATATTACAGTTGGAAATTACTACCTTCCAAACTTCTATAAATTTAAGCACCAAGACTCTTTGAGATTCACACAAGCAACTCTTTGAAGAAAAGAGTCAAAAGAGAGTTCTGCTTCTGCTGCTTTCTCTCTTACCACTACACATATGGATTCAAAGAAGTCTAACAAGATCAGAGAGATAGTCAGACTCCAACAGATCCTCAAGAAGTGGAAGAAGCTCTCCACTGCACCAAAGAACACAACAAACAAGAGCATCAACAATTGCGGCACCACCACCACCAACCCCACCCTTAGCACCAGCAAGAGCTTTAAATTCCTCAAGAAAACACTCTCCTTCTCAGACACCTCGGTTTCGGCGGTGTCGAACGACGTTGTCCCCAAAGGTTCCCTAGCTGTATGCGTTGGGAAAGAGCTGAAGAGGTTCATAATCCCAACTGAATATCTGGGTCACCAAGCATTTGGTATATTGCTGAGAGAGGCTGAAGAGGAGTTTGGATTTCAACAGGAGGGAGTTTTGAAGATTCCATGTGAAGTCCCTGTGTTTGAGAAAATCTTGAAGATGATGGAAGAGAAAAGAGATGTATTTTTCTTCCATGACTTCGGGCATAATGGAGAAAATGACATGGTTGTTTGTTACTCACCAGATTGTGAGCTAACCCCATCTCATCATACTCAGATGTGTAGATGAGAAGAGTCTTGATATAATATATTTCTTCTTTTTTTTTTTTTTTAACTGATTAATGTCTGTTTCTCCTACATTTTGTCGAGGCAATGTGTTAGAGAGAGAAGATTGAGAGTAGATATTTGAGTTGAATAAGGTTGGTTTTGTACCTTGCATTAATTACTGATGCTATAGAACAGTTCTAATGGCATTGAGTTTGCTATCAAATGCAAATTCTCTTTTAACTAAATTGCATCTGTTGAGGATAATTAATGACATTGAGATCTAATAATTTTAGTCGATTTGTCAATCAAAATCATTGCTTTTCGCTCGATTAGTGAGTGAGGCGAATCTAATCTTATACCCAATTTATTAGTGTTATTTATTACAATCGTTAAAATAGAAATAAATCGTTTTTGGGTTTTGGGATCATACTTTTTTTGGGTTTTGGGATCAGTTCTTNCATTTTAGTCGATTTGTCAATCAAAATCATTGCTTTTCGCTCGATTAGTGAGTGAGACGAATCTAATTTTATATCCAATTTATTAGTGTTATTTATTACAATCGTTAAAATAGAAATAAATCGTTTTTGGGTTTTGGGATCATACTTTTTTTGGGTTTTGGGATCAGTTCTTAGTGAATCGTATCCATTGAATTTTTATTTTTTATGGTTTTTAAAAGGGTTTTTTTTGTCTTTTTTCTTTGTAAGATCATTAGCTATTCTTTATTCTTCTTGTTGTAAGTGTTTATTTCCTTAAATCTATGCGTCAAGGACGGTCTAGATGTACGAACCTTTGACCAAAAACTGCCCGTTTTACCGTTTGATGCAGTCTTCTTTGGATTCCGATCCACGGCTATTCTTCAAAACGATCTAAATGATATCATTTTATTAAAATTACATTATTTTTGTGTGAAACGACATCATTTTATTAAAATTACATTATTTTTGTGTGAAACGATATCATTTTGATGTAAAAAATATTGTTTTGAAGAACAATACCTTTGTTGTACAACAGATAATTTTTGTTCGCTTAGAAATTATGAAAACAATATATAAAAATTCTTATAAACAAAAATGATGAGTTGACCTTGATCATTTCGAGATCTGCACAACAATCAAATGATCAAACACCGATGGTGGCCGATCATAGGTCGTCAAATGCAACAATGAATCGAATTTTTAGTTTAACTAATTAACTTTTCTAATTTTGAGTAATTTTAATTTTGTATTTGAATGTTTTGCACACCAGCCGAACAATAAGAAGGTTTGTTGAGAAGTACTTCAGAGAATCATCAAAACATACATGAACCTTTGAACCTACCTAATATTTATAGAATTAGTTCAACGGTGAAGGGTGTTCATGTCAATTTATATGCAGTTCAATTAATTCTTTTCTTGGTTTAGTCGAAGTCAAAAACAAGTCATCTATGCCGAGACTAGTGTATTTATAAGAAATAACTCTCATAATCTAATTCGAAGGGGTTGCCAACGAGTAGGGTGGTGCAATAGGGTACCAACTGAACTTCTCATCCTGAAGTTAGAGGTTCGAGTTTTAGAGTTTATATTGAGGCTCGGTAGTTGATCACTATTCTAGCTTAGTTGGGTTCATTTCCAATAAAAGTAACGGTAGCGGCCAAGGACCTCATAATCCCACTAGTAAATATTTATTAGGATGGTCTCTCTGGGCACTCTCTTTTACCCTTATCCCTATTTTGATTATCAAAAAAAAAATAGAGTTAACAATTTTTAAACTCAGAACGTCTGTATTTACAACTCATTTATGTTATCACTTGAATTACCCCAAAACAATCTCTAATGGTGTCTCATTCATTGTGACAAATTTTTTTAATAGTTGTCACGAATTAAATCAACAAATTTGTGACAACAAATAAAATCTCAATAGTACTATTGATAAAAATATATTAATTTAAAGTACATTTCGAAAACATTCNAAAATTGACATGTGTCTTTGGCGTTAGAAACTTGGAAGTCCAAAAGAGTGACAAACGTTCTCGATATCTATCCTTTTAGAGCACTGTTATTGAGATGTGTTTTCGGCACTAAAGGTCCCTCGGACTCATATAAGATGAACACGTGTCCTTGGCACCAATGTTCCCTCGACGCCATCTGCGATTGACATATATTCTTGGCACAAAGGATTCTGTAGAGTCTCTGCNCTGACATGTGTCTTTGGCGTTAGAAACTTGGAAGTCCAAAAGAGTGACACACGTTCTCAATATCTATCCTTTTAGAGCACTGTTATTGAGATGTGTTTCGGCACTAAAAGTCCCTCGGACTCATAAGATGAACACGTGTCCTTGGCACCAATGTTCCCTTGACGCCATCTGCGATTGACATATATTCTTGGCACAAAGGATTCTGTAGAGTCTCTGCGAGCGACATGTGTCCTCTGCATACATCATCTCGGGTGTCTAGATTACGGCACGTGTTATTGGCGTGATTGACTCCCCCAAAATCTATTTCTAGACACGTCATCTCGACTCCAGGACTTCAAAGCAAATGTGTCAAAATGATGGCTATCGTTACTTGGAGTTAATCTTGATTAATAATCATTGATTTGTCTTCCCAAAGTAGTCAAAATGGCAGAGGAGATAGACTTACACCCAAGGACAATGTTACACGTGACAAAGAACATAGAAGCAAGGGCCAATAGACGAAGATGTCTTTACTCATGCGCAACCATTACAGTGAAGTATTAAATAATTCCTCAAAAGGATAAGACGTAATTAATGCTTGANGACGTGACAAAGAACATAGAAGCAAGGGCCAATAGACGAAGATGTTTTTACTCATGCGCAACCATTACAGTGAAGTATTAAATAATTCCTCAAAAGGATAAGACGTAATTAATGCTTGAAAAGCCTAGAAGGAAGAGCATTAAGTGCTCGAGAGCCCGAGTTTTTAATGCCAGAGCCTCTTCCACGCAAAATGGAAGGTGCTTGGTCCAAAGACTGAGCACCGTCCACTGTCTTCCAAATTGACCAATGGGGGGCTTCTTCTTCAAGGGGCCCACTTGCCAATAACGATCACCTTCAGAAAGGTATAAATAACTTTCATAAAATGAAAATAAAGGTACGCCAACTAGATTCAAACAATAGAACATTGCTTTTTTCTCCTCTCCCTCGTGTATTGGCTTGATCGTTGGAGGAGTCACGTCAAAAAATACTCTGGCGCCCTTTTAACTCATTTTTTTGAGTGGCAGAATCCTTCTCGAGTGTAGCTTAGCAAAAAATATTTGAGTTTCATGGCCTTGTGAATAGTCTGCCAGAAATTTTGGTGTCTCTATGACCTTTTAGTTTTTANTTTTAATGCCAGAGCCTCTTCCACGCAAAATGGAAGGTGCTTGGTCCAAAGACTGAGCACCGTCCACTGTCTTCCAAATTGACCAATGGGGGGCTTCTTCTTCAAGGGGCCCACTTGCCAATAACGATCACCTTCAGAAAGGTATAAATAACTTTCATAAAATGAAAATAAAGGTACGCCAACTAGATTCAAACAATAGAACATTGCTTTTTTCTCCTCTCCCTCGTGTATTGGCTTGATCGTTGGAGGAGTCACGTCAAAAAATACTCTGGCGCCCTTTTAACTCATTTTTTTGAGTGGCAGAATCCTTCTCGAGTGTAGCTTAGCAAAAAATATTTGAGTTTCCTGGCCTTGTGAATAGTCTGCCAGAAATTTTGGTGTCTCTATGACCTTTTAGTTTTTATTTCAAGATAACCATAGAGATGGCAAGGGGGTAACGACTTTTTATCTATTTATCGGCTCATTGGTTGGTAAGCTCTTTGATTCATGAATTAAGGAATATCCAACTTCAGAAGTGGCTAGCGAAGTAGAATAGCATACAACATAAATAGAATAAAGATAGGAATGAAAACCAGAGTCAGCAAAAAAAAAAAAGTAGATTCATTTTGTTCATTTTCCATCTGTCGTCCTTCGAGTTTTGTATCGTCGACCCATTAACTAGTAATACACAACCTAAAAGGACGGTTGAGCCCTAAAGCCCACTCCTAGGCTAACTCCACAATTCATCCTACCCTATCCATAGATTTTTGAATGTTGCAAACCTGAAATTCCGCTTCTTTGATCTTTGAAAAAAATGGATCACTCCATTCATCTCTCTTCTTTTGAAATGAAATTCACCGTTCGCTTGCCTCTGTTACATCTTCTCCTAGTCTATCTTTTTAACTCAATCATACAGACGAGCTAATGCAGTGCATGCTTGTCTCTATTATTATGTAACTTTTGGATGCATCCAAGCACATATGTATATGTAGGAGCTTTGCCATTGTAGCTGACTTACCTGTTGTCGACGGACCTTTGTATTGATCTGTTTCTCTTTATTCTTTTTTGTGGACTGAACTGAACTATGACAACCAGCAATACATATGTCCGTTCTGGTGTTATGTTCTGGCGGTGGGCTGAGTCGGCTGAACTGAACCAAACACTACTTACCTTACTTCCTCCGTGTCCGTGTCCGTATCCATCCGAGAGCATGGACGGCAAGCTAGGGTGGAAGAGTAATACTCTTTGACTAATTCATTATTGTCATTGGATTAATAATAATAAATATTAAGAATTAAGAATGAGATCTGTCATTGGTTCAATGAATCAAGCTAGTAAAAAATATGAGTGTGTTCAGTTTAAGCATTAAGAAGGACCGGATTGGACAAATCCATCTATCCCACACCCATCCATCGGAAGAAANCCTCGATGAATCAAGCTAGTAAAAAATATGGTGTGTTCAATTTAAGCATTAAGAAGGACCGAATTGGACAAATCCATCTATCCCACACCCATCCATCGGAAGAAAATAATACAAATCTAAAATCATGCCTCTTATTGCTTGTTTAGTTTAAGTATTAAAAAATTGTAAGTCCACCCTTATCTCTTACAACACTTTGTTTGGATTGAGTATCAAATGATGATATAACCATTAAAATTATTAAGAACCCCAACTTAGTTCAATCCATACTCATGTTTGATATTTATATCTAAATTTACCAAGGATAAAAATATATTTTGTACAAATACTACCCAACATCATTATTTTAAACTATCAAATAGGTGGATTTATTTAAGATGTTTAACAGTATAAATATGTTATTCATCCGGGCCTAGAATATTTATTGGTGATAATACCAGACCTAAAATATCTAACCAAACATGAGAATAAATAGGATAAGGTGGTCCCAAGCACTACTTTTTCCAATCCTCTTTCCTAATACCTAAAACAAACACACCCTAAATGTAAATGGCTAAGATGTTGTCACACATACTATTTTGTAAACATATTGGGACTAGTCCCGACTTGAATGGTCTCTTTTTGACCCGACTCAAGAGAGGATTAGTCATTTATTCCAGATATGAAGACTCGTCTGAACGAAATTCCTTTTCTAAACTTACCACCAGTAAGATTCCAAATACAACCTAATAATTTTTTTCTTCACTCAACAAATAAGAACCGAAACCTCGTCACGACAGCGAATATGTCACAACACTAATTACAGGCGTCTGTCGAAGTATTCGTTGCTCTTCCTTGAAGCACATCTCATTCCAACCCTATAACACAGATCTTCTAAACTGCTAATTCTATTCTTATTCTTTTTCCCTGCTGAAGTTGGCAGTCTAGACTATTAATAATCATTGACACAACAAACTGACTGCTGCTAAGCTACGAACATATGCTTTCAGAAGGATCAAACTAACCAATTTTAGCAAAGCATTCGCAAGCGATGAAACCAGCAGTCATTGTCTTGAATAACGATCCACAAGAGCCTTGGCTTTCTCTGGTGCGAAGAACCGTGCCTGTGCACAACTCCATTAAGAAATTGCTAACATTCTCGCATAAAATTGATTGAACAGAAAAAAACTTAAATATTTAGCTGCAAAAGTTATGGTAGGAAGGGCCATGGGGAGATCGCAACCAAAGCAGACTTGCAATGCAAAATCCAAATTTACAGATACTAACAGAGGGTTAAGTTTAATATGCAAGTGCAAGATCTAGTTGGGTTGAATTAATTTATGTTAAACATCTCAACTGAGATGCGCCACTGACACTGGACTGGAAGCATTGTCTCTGGATCGTCAAGTACATGGGCAGAATTTCGAGCAATAGTGAGTAGCTATATGCAAAATGTTAAACTTGTAGGTGCGATAACTTCAGTCAAGACCTATACATACAAACACGCCGACTTTCACCTAATATGATACTAATGGAGGCCAATGTTGTCTTAAGAGGAAATGCTTCAGAACACCAGAGCATAATTAGAGACTCATAACTACAGTGACTGGTATGGTGATGCATTCACCTTTGCTTCATGCACAGGACAGCCATATCATAGAGGATAATAAGGCCAGCACATGGTTATTATTTTCAGACGCAAAAGTTTCCAACTTCATAACTAATGTTTCTGGGTTGAGCTGGCGGCCTCACAAAATTTATTATCAGTTTCTCACCAATAGGAAGCATATGCATGTAATTGTGTGCACATGCATGTGCACCCCCGTCTATGTGTGCGAACGGGTGCATGTGTGGGAAAATACATGTACTTACTTGCATAAACATTCTCTCTGCATCACCAACTTTTCCATTTTCTTTCAAAATAATTCCCTGCAGAAATATAAAAAAATATGAAACTCTAGTTTTCTTCATTTAAAGCGACCAGAACAAATAAATTAGCAGGACAGAGAAAGGAAGTCATTTTAAAGAATTATTGAAGTCATTCAAAAGGAGGAATGGCAAATGAATTTAACTCGAGTAGCATGTAGGTCAAAAAATAATTAAGACATGCAAATTGACCATAAAAGAATTCAATATCAAATCAGCCAATAGTGTTGTAATCTCCATTACAACCCGGCTTCACAAAACAATCAACTGTCAAGCATAGCCCCAACTACTCGAGTTCTGCAGGATGCACTGCTTAGAGTTGAAGATAGGACCACAGTTGCAGTTGTGTCCACCAGACAGGGAAGAGCAGACCAACTCAGTTCATCTCAATTTCAGTTCCCAAAAAAAAAAAAGTTCATCTCAATTTGAAATTGCAGCAAATGCTTGTAGATTATACCATGCCTTCCCTACTAGATGCGTCTATATCTTCCTAGATAACTCTGCTGCGTAGGGAACAATATAGAAAGACAGAAATATTGATGAAGGTCGAAGGATCAGTTCTCCTAGAAACTTTAGGACGTCAAATTATAATCTTTGTTACGTTAATTGGATTTCATCAGTCAAATGCACTTTTACCTCCATTGCAATTAAGGTGGGCCATTGAAAATTGAATTAGTCAAGAACCTTAAAGCTATGCGATTAGCAATAAGATTCTCATAATATGACTGCAGCTAAACTTCTGTCCATACCAAGGAAGTGCCATTCTTATTCAAGTAAAACAATTCATTTTAGATTAGCAAGGTGTCACCCATAATAAACACAAAACTTCTCAGAGAAATCAACTCGGCAAATGACAATATAAACAAACCAAGATGATTAAAAAGTTTAAGGACAGAAAAGAAAAACAGAAAGCACCTTGGCCAAGTAACCCCGAAAATCATCAGGGTGGCTAGATATGAGTTGATCATAAACAGACACAGCATCACTGACATGGCCCCAATCTGAGTATGCTTTTCCCAGAAGCAATTCAACCTAAAATAACATCTTGCTCAAATAAATCAAAGTTCCCAAACAAAAAATAAGAGAGCAGTTATAGATAAGAAGCTATTACACTAACAAGGACATCTCATATTAAGAAAAATGCCCGTAAAAATAGACCTAAAATAACTAAGTTTCATTCATGAAATTAGTTTAGGGAAAAAAAAAAAAAAGAAGCAAAACCTGCACATGGTCCAGGTGATTACTACAATTCACCTTTTTAAAAAAAAAAATAAATGACATTCAAATTACATACAACCAGATATAGAATAGAAAAAATTGTGGAGTTTCAGATCCAAGGGCAGAAACATTCTACAAATAGTGCCAAAGATTAGGTTAAACCAGTCAACCCCTACCAGCATTCTTGTTTAGCATGACCCAAACTAAGTAACAACCCTCTTTTTTGTTAAAGTTTAGTAACATTAATATTAAAAAATAGTTACCATAAGAAAATAGTATTATTTGCAAATTACAAATGAGATACTATTGTCCTTTCCCTCCCCATCACAAAACCTTCAACCAAATTACTTCCCTCAACCTTCTCCATCAATTTACTCAAATCATCCACAGCTAAAGTGAATAGAAATGGCGAAAGACGGTCTTCATTGTATAAGTAGCCTGTATGCCTAAAATCTTCCCCTTGGTTTCCCATTCATAATCACTGAAAAATTCATCGTCTCCAAACAACCCCTAATCCATTTCCTCCAAAACCCTTCACCTCCATCACAAAATCCAAAAACTTCCAATCCACATGATCATAAGTTTTCTCAAAATTGATTTTAAACACAAAACCCTCTTTTCTTTTAACCCTACACTCTTCAATCACCTCATTAGCTATAAGTGCTACATTCATAATGCCTCTTGACTTTTTGAAATTGTTTCATTCAAGCACTCTCAAGCCAAAAACAAAGAACTTTAACAATGATCTTATAAAAACTAGTAAACAAACTAATAGGCCTAAAATCCTTCAATTTCAAAGACCGATTTTTTTTTTTTGAAATAAGACATAAATGTAGCCTTTGTAATCCTATTAATTATGCCCTTATGAAAAAATTTCTCAAACATCAGCATCAACTCATCCTTGATATTATCCTAACAGAACTAATACAATGCTATAGTGATTCCATCCAGACTTGGAGCTTATCTCTACTACACTCAAACACAACTCTCCTTACTTCTTGCATCTCAAAGAGTCTTTCCATCCACCTTGCAATCCCACCATCAATAGGGCTCCACTCAAGACCCCTCAAAATAGGTCTAGGAGCACCGTCATCCGAGTATAACTTCGCAAAAAACCTAATAATCTCACTAAATGATTCTTTCTTCCTCAATTATTGTCCCATCATCACACTCCAACTTATCAATAACCTTCCTCATCCTATACCTATTTTCAATCATATAAAAAAAAAATTGTATTATTATCACCTTCCTTCACACACTTAACCCACCTTAGACTAATCTCCTCTTTAAACACCACCTCCTCAAATATATTCTTAAAATCTCTCCTTTCTCTCTTCAATTCTTCACCCATATGTCCTTCTTCAATTTTATCCACTTCTACAATCCTTTCCAAAACTATTCTTTTTTTCTCCCCGAATATCTCCAAACACCTCTTTATTCCGCACCTTCGATCTTTGTTTTATCATCTCAAGTTTCTTCACAAATTTGAATCCTTGCCATACTTGGACCCCCTCATGTCCCCACCACTCTCTAATTTTCTCTCTAAACTCTCTATGTTCCACCCACATATTTTTAAACCTAAACGGACAAGGCCCTATTTAAAATTAGAATCAACAAGAACAATAGGACAACGAGTGAAACTACCCTAGTCAAGGCCTCCTATCTAACCCCAAGAAAATAAAGCAAGGAGAAGGTAAATAGATTGGATATGGAGGTAGGAGAATGGCCAATGAAATATTTAGGACTTCTATTAGGGGTAATCTGATGTCCAAGATTTTTTGGGATTCTGTTGTTGTGAAGGTGGGAAGAAGATTACATAGGTGGAAGAAATCTTTTATTTCTAAGGGGAGAAGATTAACTTTGATTTAGTCGGTTTTGTCTAGTATCCCGATTTACTTCATGTCCCTTTTTAAAATGTCTTGGGGGTAGTTAGGAAAATTGAAGTCTTAATGAGAAATTTTGTATGGGAAGGGATAGAAGAGGGTAGGAAGGTCAATCTGATTAGATGAGAGGTGGTAACTAGGCCAAAAGAAAAGAGAGCGTTGGCGTTGGGGAATTTAGTGAAAAGAAACATAGCACTGGTTGGGAAATGGCTTTGGAGGCTTCCTTAACAAGATTCATTATGGTGTGTTGTTATTAGAATCTAGTATGAGTTATAGGCTAATAGGTAGAATGCTAATGAGGTTGAGGGACAAGCTTTTTGGAATCCTTGGAGGTTCATTTCTCATTGGTTTCCTTGTTTTTCTCAACGGGTCAAAGTCATCGTAAGGGATGAAAATCAAATACGATTTTGGGAGGACATATGAGTTGGGGAGTCTTTTTTTTGCCAATCTATTTCCTAAATTGTTTTGTGTTTCTGGTTATAATGATGCTTTGGTTGCATCTATGGTTCGTTCATATTTTAATCCGATTTCTTGGTATATTGGGTTTCATAGGAATCTTAATGATATGGAGTGCTTGCAGCTGTCAAGTCTTCACTTTATGCTTAATAATGACATTAGTNATTCATATTTTAATCCGATTTCTTGGTATATTGGGTTTCATAGGAATCTTAAAGATATGGAGTGCTTGCAGCTGTCAAGTCTTCACTTTATGCTTAATAATGACATTAGTTCAAAGCTCTTTGGATAGGTGGTGTTGGACTAGTAGTTCATAAGGTGAATATTAAATTGTTTTTTCTTGTAAATCGTTTTTTGAATCTTTAAGCAATAATCCTTCGATTCCATTATTTTATCCATTCATTGAAGATTTGAAGGGTGAATGTGCTTTTTAAGGTGTAAATATGTGCATGGATAATTTCTCATGCTAAGATTAGTACAAATGAGGTGCTTCAAAAGAGGAGATCAATTTTTTGTCTTCAACCACAATGATGTGTCATGTGCTGAGGTGGTAGTGAGAATGTGGATCATTTATTTTTACATTGTCCTTTGACATGGGCATTATGGAATAAGCTGTTTGAATTTATGGGAGTTGCGTGGGTTGCTCCAAGGAATATGGCATCTATATTTTGCTTGGAAGATGTCGGTTTTAGGAGAAATATTAAATGGAGGACCATTTGTCATAATTCATTTTTTTGCTACACAGTGAGTGATTTGGAAGGAAAGGAATGCAAAAATCTTTGAAGATAATTGTGAAGAATTTGAAGGACTATGGGAAAGGCTTTATATTTTGGTATAGTTTTGAGCATCAATGTCTAAAGAGNCCTTGAGGGACTATGGGAAAGGCTTTATATTTTGGTATAGTTTTGAGCATCAATGTCTAAAGAGTTGCAAGATATTCCCTTTTTTGGTATTAGAAAAAGTTGGAAAGCTTCATACGATTTGTAATTTTGTTTTATTTTGTTCTCTTGGCCGGTCTTGTGGTGGACCCCTTGTCCACACTTGACAGGTTTTCGTGTAAACCTTCATTTTGATTTCAATAAAGTCTATTTCTTATTGGAAAAAAAAATAGTGACTAAGATAACAATGATCGTCCCTTTTCGTAATACAGATTCAATAATCTAAATGACAGAGAGAAAAAAAAAAAAAAAGGACAAGGCCCATACAGTTCAAGCAAGGTGGATGAAAAGAAAGGTGGTGTCAGTAACCTTGTCCAATTATTCCATTGGCTGCATTTAGTTTCTTTTTTGATGTATTATGTTTGGGACAATTAGTTCTTTTATTTTCTCTCTCGCTCTCTCTTTATCCAGTTGAAGAGTTGTAAGGGATAAGATGGAGTCCCTTTATTTGAGGATATTTTATACTCAATACTGTAACTTTTCATTTTAATTTATTTTACGAAAATATATCTCTTATCTAAAGATAGATTGATCCCCTCGTTTGTAGGACTAATTTCAATGGTGCAAACAATAAGTAGTAGTCAGTACGATATGGGAACATCTAAACAGCAAATATGGTCTGCCAAATTTCTGGATTATGAACATGAAGTAGTCTATGACTCTACCATAAGGGCCGAAAAGTGTGGTTGCTGATGCCTGACAGTTTGTCCAGACAGTGTGAAGTACAGCGCTTAGTAGCCTTCATTGCTCCACACTCCCCAGTTGACGAGTTGAAGCAAGATTGTGACAAACATAAATAGGCTCGAGATCTACTTGCCACACTAAATAAGATTATCCTAGGCGAGGAGATTTCTTGCAGTACAACCGCAAGTTAGTTGTGGCAAAAGATTCAGCCAACCACATTGCTTAATGATTTTCAAGATACTACCGAGGTTGGTCATTCTAGAGTGCCGCCGACTTACAAAAGGTTGCCTCATAGCTTCTATTGTGTATGTCTAAGAATGTTAAGTTTTGTTTACAGGACAAAATTGGAAATGCGTCACCTCCTGGTCAGTTGACCTTTGCCCAAACCGGGTTTGATATTGCCTGACGTGCTAATGGATTTCATTGATGGCCCACAAGTTCTCAAGGAAATACAAGCATTAGAGTGGTGGTGGAACAATTAATACATTATGCGCATTTCAGCCCTTTCGAGACCACGTCTATAGTCTATAGTCAAATTGCTTGGCTTTGTGGCCAAGTCCTTTTGAACATTTTTGGCAGGCATACTTCAAGTCAAAGGGAACAAAAATTAGCATAAACACAGCCTACTCCACACAGTCTGAAGAGCAAACTATATCAGCCAATTTTTGGGGACCTATTCATTATTATGCGGGAAATAATCAAATACAGTGGGTTAAATGCCTTCAACTTTCACATACAAAACAAAATGGCTGCAAGGGGCTTCCTGGTGGTATTATATTACAAACAATTGTGGTTGTTATTATCTTACCATTGACGATACAATGCATACAATACATTTCACTGCAGGAGTAAAACAATACGTTTTGTATAAGTGTATCGTTTTCCAACTTGTACACGATACACAGTATGTACCATAGGATACTATTCAATACATTATGACATGTGTTGAATAGGTTCAAAAAGGAGGAAGTAAAAAAAAGAGAGAGAGGGAGAAAGATAAAAATCCTGTATAATTTGAATATATTTTCTAATTTGTTGACTCATTCAATCATTTTAATATTTTATATAATTGATATTGTCTTTATGTGGAGCCTAGAATTATTTTGTCAAATAACAAAAAACTAAAAGAAAGCAAATAGACAAAAAAAATAACCATGAAGTTGAAATTGNAAGACCACGTCTATAGTCTATAGTCAAATTGCTTGGCTTTGTGGCCAAGTCCTTTTGAACATTTTTGGCAGGCACAAAGGGAACAAAAATTAGCATAAACACAGCCTACTCCACACAGTCTGAAGAGCAAACTATATCAGCCAATTTTTGGGGACCTATTCATTATTATGCGGGAAATAATCAAATACAGTGGGTTAAATGCCTTCAACTTTCACATACAAAACAAAATGGCTGCAAGGGGCTTCCTGGTGGTATTATATTACAAACAATTGTGGTTGTTATTATCTTACCATTGACGATACAATGCATACAATACATTTCACTGCAGGAGTAAAACAATACGTTTTGTATAAGTGTATCGTTTTCCAACTTGTACACGATACACAGTATGTACCATAGGATACTATTCAATACATTATGACATGTGTTGAATAGGTTCAAAAAGGAGGAAGTAAAAAAAAGAGAGAGAGGGAGAAAGATAAAAATCCTGTATAATTTGAATATATTTTCTAATTTGTTGACTCATTCAATCATTTTAATATTTTATATAATTGATATTGTCTTTATGTGGAGCCTAGAATTATTTTGTCAAATAACAAAAAACTAAAAGAAAGCAAATAGACAAAAAAAATAACCATGAAGTTGAAATTGAATTCCTCATCATAACGGGGAACACCGTGCTTCGTGTAATTCAGCGGACAACATACACAAGATTAAAAAAGATAGAGGTAAAGACTTGTTGGCATCTGCTGATGAAGTTATTGATGTCATTTGAAACTATAACTGAAGATCAAGATGAAAATGTGATTCATAAAACTATAAGAATGGATTGTCTTAGATTTTGCTAATCTTTAAATTTTGATATTGATGAATTATATTGTAAAACTTGAATTGCTAAATTTTGTTTCAACTTGGAGTCTTTTTTAATCTGGTATGGAATATAAGTTGAAACATTATTTATATCATTTTGGAACTATATATAATCATAAAATTAAGTGTATCTTTGTGATACACAATAATTCTGATACACGGTACACTATATTAAGAAAATGTTACACACTATGATACACGTTTTGACGACCTGGTCACCAATGGTTATGCTAAGTCAATCCCAGTTAAAATTATGTATGGTCTCCACCAACAACCTATTGATATACGGGCAGGGAGGAATAAATATAGAACCAGATCCACGAAGGTCACAGGATGCACACAGAGCTTTGAAGCAGCAGTTAGCAGAATCTCAAGCAGTGAGAGAGTTGTGGGAGGTTGGGTACTCTAACAACTGCAGTGTCATGAACAAATGTTTACTGTAGTTAGTTCCAATACGAAGGTAGCATCAAAGTTCTTTTGGTCATTTTTAATGTTGAAGTGTATTGGATCAGTGGCAATCAACTGGACTTGCCTACTGTATGCACCCTGTATCTCAAACATCATGCCTCAAGCGCAAGGTAGGAGCAGCAGTGCAAGCAAGTGCTACCTTAACACTTTTGTTAGATGACGGGCAGCTTCTAGTTGAACGAGAAGCCATACTTCCCTGAGGGACGTTGAAAAAAAACTATCATGCCATGGTTAGTGTTATTCAAATGAACTAACCTTCTCAAGAAAAAGCCACCTGGATTTCGCAAGCTACATGCATATGATTTGTGAACAAAGATAGCTTTTTGACACCAGTGTAAGTCAGTGATGATTAGATTTGTAAACCGTTACTGGGCAATCAAAACTCACTTGGATGGGATCCACCTGTGATTTTGTTTCCACTGTGCTGCTGTCAGCCCCAATATTACCACCACTCGATTTTTCAGCATTTAAATGTTCACGAGACGCCAGAAGGACATGAACAGCCTGCATAAGCAGCAAACAGAAAATGGAATGAACTCCGCATGTGCAAACATTTAAGGCTGCAAGATATTTATATGAGAATCAAATGCAGTATAGGAAAATTGACAAATAGATGAAACAGATAATCATTACTCATTTATAGATTCCCTTTTCTTAAGAGTATATCCCATATTTGAATGTGGTTACAACAATTGTAGAGTACAGTACACCAGTAACTAGGCATATTTTGGACCATCGAATGACTTAAATCCTAAAGGCAGCAATTCAAATTGTAACTTGAATGACCAAAAAAAAAATTGTAACTTGAACTCAGCCATTCTGGAAAAAAAAAAAAAGAGGTAAAAAAGTTTATGTATGGGAAAAAGTGATTGTAATGCTTCAAGATTCAAAAAAAAAAAAAAACTGCCACCATAAACTTTTCATAATGAAAGATGTTCGTTTGCAAGGGAAAATCAGATATTTCTTCGTCTCTAATCCTGACCCAAGTATTTTGTGTTTTCTACCGATGCAAAAAATATCAACCTTAATGGTGCTTACTTTCAGAAGCCAACAAACAGGCAGAGCTTTTAAATAATAAATTCATTTGTATCAGAGAAACTGCTGAGAAGATTTAACTACAAACAGGCGTTGCTCAGACACAGTAAATGTGAGCTGAACTGGATTCAATAAGTGACAGCAACAAACATTCAGCAAATGAATTAACATCCATGCAAATTGTCTAAATGAAATATCCAGTTTGCACAACACAAAATATGCCCTGGACTAATCATCATATCCAAATCAATGCCTTCTTTATATTTGATACAAAGGATACAGCTGCCAGCTGATTGGACACCGTAAAAAAGTTAATGCAATCATTTTGTATTACTACAGAACAAAACATAGTTGTTGAGAAAATGACCGAATCTAAACAGCTTAATAACCAACCTCATCTGGTTTCTTTGCAGCAAGCAATGTATTTGTTAGGCCACGCAGAACTTCAAAATCAATAGTTTTTGACAGCTGTCAAGCAATGAAAGAGGACCGCAAACAGCATCTGTGAATCTTCTGTCAGTGTTAAAGAAACCAGATGACCGAATAAAACAAACAAAAGCATCTAATATGAGAAAGTGTAACATTGTACTATTTCCCAGTAACCCTCTCTCTTAATATCTGCATAATTCTAAGATATGATTATTAGCTGTTATAATCACAGTATATGTTATGCACATAACAAAATTTTAAAAGCAAATCATCGAAGAGACAGCTATTACGAAACCCAAGTTCTTAAGTATTTGACTACATGCAACAATTAGTTCTAAGTTACATATGAAATTTATGAGATTGGATATTTGACTTGCATTTGGAACAAACTTTGTCAATAAGAATAAAAGTGCATGTCTACTGTAGAATTACAGAAAGTTACCTTTACTGAAAAAGTTAAAAAGCTAATTTCTACCATTCTACTAATAACATAACCAGAAGCTAATATACACTAGAACTTCAAAAACTATCAAAAGCAATTCATTATGTCACTCCCATGGTAAAATGAACTACAAAATAGTTAAAAGTGGACCTCTTTACGAAGTATAAACTGGCACCAAAAGAAAGCAATGTGGACAACCTATCAGAATAGCAATCAGTAAGAGGTTTAAGTGTCCCACAAATCGAGGGGATACTGACCATTGCAGAACTCTTATATGCAGCAGCACTTCCTTCATAATCTTTGATTTCATATTTAACTTCTCCGAGCAAACGGAAAGCATCAGGGTCATTTGGTTTCTTCTACAGATCAAAACATACTCATTCAGAAGATAGAATCATCAGATTAATATCTTTCTTAATGCCTAAACATTATCATTGTATAGTGAAAACGAGAAACCTTGGTCAAATCCTCAAGCACAGTGGCAGCCCGTGTATACTCTCCCAATTCTGCTAAGGTTACTGCTGTTCCCTGCAAAACCACAGGATATATTCAAAAAGGTAGGCACAAGTGAACAGAGTTACCGAGATTTTATTTATAAGAAATTGGTGCCACTAGATGATACATAGAGATCATAGAAGTATGTACATACATCAACAGCAATGCTACCACATTCTCAGAACAATCAAAGAAACGAGGTTTCTTGGTGATACCATAACATTTTTGCATATGGATATAGTCTATGTGGACAATAGATGGATTATAAAAGTTACAATCAATTCAAAACCAACAAATAGCCTACACTCTTTAAGGGAAGAGGTCCACAAGTAGATTGGTTCAAGTTCGACCTTTCCTGGTATACGACAGTGTGCCTATTATCCCCAAATTATTTTATAAAATTGTGTGTTTTCATTGGATCAAGATAAGGGCAAAATCTATCAGCATCTGGTCATTTTAAGAGTCCTTAAGGTTAAAGTTAAACATTGTAGGGAGTATAGAACTCTTAGTAAGATCACAAGGTCCAAGGAGATTGGGCCTCCTGTGAGAGTTAAGGCAATTTTTGTTCTCAGAAAGTGAGTTAGGACAATCTTAGAAGAGGAGGGCAGTGGAAATCTGCAAGAATGAGTAAGAATAAGAAGGGTCCCATTGCATTGGAATCTCATTCTGTTCCACAGGTTACCCTCCTTATGGGTGGCCATAAGGCCAATTATTCTGAGGACATCTTTCTGTATATGCCAAGTCATATTTCCAGCTGAAGAAGAAGGATCTAGGCAGAGATAAAGACTTGGGGACAGAGACCTCCCAGTCCATCGAGCAGCACATATCGGCGAGAAATAGAAAATGGAGAACCTGCCACATATCCGGGGAGACAAGTGGAACCTCTCTTTCTAAGACAGGCCAAGAATACCTGGTGGCTAAGACCACATCTTGACGAGTCCTCAACTTCAGCTTCCAAGTCACAAACCCATAACGGGACCACATAGGACCCTGATACAACCTGGAAGTCACCATACAATTCTTCATTGAGCTCTCCCCTAGCCTGGCCTCCAACTCAGGGAGTCCTTGACATGTCACAGTGGATGTCCTGGAAGCAGCTATGACAGGAAAAACATGTAGGTGATGGAGATGAGCCAGAAGAGATTCATANCGGCCTCCAACTCAGGGAGTCCTTGACATGTCACAGTGGATGTCCTGGTAGCAGCTATGACAGGAAAAACATGTAGGTGATGGAGATGAGCCAGAAGAGATTCATAACTCCGATAAACCACCAGAAATCCTTTATAAAGTAACATGGAGATGAGCCATTAGAAGGACCTCAACAGTAGCCTTTGTGATATAAACCAGGGGTCAAGGCATCCTGTAGACCTCTTCATGGGGACCAGCATGGCACACCCTCAGGCAGTGGCTGGAGAAATGTTGGGGGTCTATGTCTCGTGCAAGATAACCCTAAGGATTCCAGTCAAGCAGAAACAGTGAGGCTTTTCCGGGAGGTTGAAGTGTGCCATTTTTTGATTGTTCTGGGAAGGGCCACTGTGCAGGTGAGCAGGCATTTGTGTGCCTGCACACTCACACGCGTGTGTGTGAAAGAGAAAGACCACAAAGCAGAGCGGTCATAATTAATTAAGTTAATGTGGATCCATTCTGCACCAAACATATGACAAGTGAATTTCTTTGGTTTAAAAACTTTTGTATGGTTCACACTGAGACTGGGGATTCGGTTTCAACTTAGTCAGAAGAATGAGGACGAGATCAAATGATGTAGACTAGGAAAGAGAATTAGGGAATTCCCATAATCAAATAGGTAGGTCAATTTTTTTAAAACTGACAGAATGTAACTGTAGCATATTATTCCAAAAAGGGTCCTCCAGATTCAGCATCAAACTATTATCAAATCATGGCACATATTGAAAGTTTGACGCAATCAGGACTCTATATAGAGAAAAGCATATGCATGTATGCTTCAAACTGCTTTTTCACTGGATATTTTTCTCTGTATGGCTTTGTCTAGAGTACATATGTAAACACACTTCTTGACAAATCCATTCAGAAAAATAACAAGCAAAAAGCATTACTGGCTTTCATAAACATCATGACTCACTTCAAGAGCAGTTGTATCCTCTGGGGAACTTCGAAGTGTTGCCTCGTATTGCTGCAGCCTCTTCTGCAACATTTCAATTACTATCTCGTCATAAAACTAATTTACAAACTTCTCATCTCAAGAAGCAAAAACATGATATGTTTGATTGTCACTGAAGGCCAAAATTAACCACAGATGCTATGATCTAAATTTAGTGGTGAGTCCATATTGCAGTCCCTGTCATACAACACTTTAAATATCTCGTGCAGAAGCTGGAGATAATTCACACATATAGAGAAGGGAAATTTTCCAGCGAAAAAAATGGCAAATTGAAGTTCGAAAATGTCTGAGAGATCTGGCAGCGTACAAACACTTTTCCAAGTCCCTCCACACCCCCCCCTCCCCAAAAAAAAAAAAAAAATCCTGGTTTACTAAGAAGCATCGTCATGAGCAGCCTGGCAACTCCATAGTAACCACCTAGTCATAGTTCAAGATTTTTTCTCAGCGACAACAAATGTTCAACTCAATGATATATATGCTCTTCCAAACTTCAAACCTTAAGAAAGAAAAGAATTTGTGGATTACTACTAATATAATTTTACCTGAAGATTGGCTTTCTCTTCTTCCGAGATCTTGTTTGGGACTATTGTGGCCTCCTCAGTGGTACTAACACTAGAAAACAGAAGGCCATATCAGGATCACTTGTTTCTTAAACAATTCCAAATAGCAAATTGTTCAAATCAGAAAGAGATAATAAGGATAGATGACTTGAAATTTGCTTACTTGCAAAGAAAACTTCATTTTTTTTTTTTAATTTTTAAAAAAAACAGAAATTTTTTTTAAAAAATAACAGAGTAACAGAAATTTTTTTGAAACAACGGAGTAAACAGAGTAAAAGCAATGTTGTTTTTTAACTGAATTCCAAAAACATTCTGAAGGCCTCAGGGAAAAGCAAAATAAAAGATATGCCTCATAAAACCTCACATGCCCATAACTGGCAAGAAGCACCACTAAACTCATATAAAAGGCACAGCCAGAAATTTACAGAATAATGTATTATTAGCCCAAAAATAGAGNTTTTTTTTGAAACAACAGAGTAAACAGAGTAAAAGCAATGTTGTTTTTTAACCGAATTCCAAAAACATTCTGAAGGCCTCAGGGAAAAGCAAAATAAAAGATGTGCCTCATAAAACCTCACATGCCCATAACTGGCAAGAAGCACCACTAAACTCCTATAAAAGGCACAGCCAGAAATTTACAGAATAATGTATTATTAGCCCAAAAATAGAGAGGCCAGCAAACAACTTAATAGATAGCCCATATATCAATTCATCAATCAGGTAATGCTGGAATGATAGCATAAAGATAAAATCAAATTCTGATACTGCAAGCTATCAAATTTCAATGCTGCTCCCTAAGTAAATATCATGGGTGTTATATAAGGGATACAAAATGAGAAATCTATAAGTTGGGCAGGCAAGTGAATAACATCTCAAGCTATTAGGTGACTTGTAAGTTTTAAGCAAGTTACCCAAGTTGTAAATCAACTCAATTGTGTCTAGAAAACCCTTAAACATGATCCCTAAAGTACTGATACATTAGCAATTAAAGCCAGCTACATCCTTGAGCTGTTGGACTGCCATATAAGATCATGTACTATCTTTCAGGACAACTCAAAGTTTTGAACTTTTATTTGACCCAATAAATTTCCAGTACATCTAGCAAATTGCACCTTTATTCTTCAAGCCTACCATTTTGCTCTTCAAAGCAATAAAACCCCTCGGAACTAAAATGAATTTATTTCTATATGACAAAATGTGTTGGATCCATTCAGTGCAAATTTTTTTGAAGTCATGGTGGCCTCTCTCCAACAGAAGTATGTTTGCCTCATTTTGGCAGGAAAAAGCATCACAAAAACAGCATAGCTCTCTTCATTGTCTTTCTCGAAAACACTCTCACCCATTGCGTGGTCCTTCGAGTAATTATATGCAAATCTGCAGCAGAAATAACAACATCCCAATGCACATGCTTCTCTCCTTATAAAGCTAGTGGAGACGACCCCAAGTCATTGTAATAGCCTCTGCATGTTCATTGGTTTTAGATGGTATCGGTTAGGTTAGTGGCAACTCTTGATGCAAAAAGTTTTCTGGAACGAAAGTACGAAAATGAAGGCACGGTCACCCTAGTCTTAAGGAGTCCAAGAAGTCAAGCAATTACTCAAAATAGTCTCGGTGCTACTTAAAATTGAATCACCTTTCATAGATGGGAGGCACACGCAATCAAACAAAGATATTAGATAAACTGACTGCATTCATGGAACTACAAAAATGAATCCAAATTCAAGGACTAAGCACGCCTGTTATTAGAACTAATGCAAAGGTACCCAAATTACAATGGAAGAGAGAAGTAGGCATTTTTTCCAAATTTATCTCCTTCAAAATTAGGTCAATGGTGCTTTTGGTCCCACGGATGACATGCAACCCACCTTTTGCTTCGAAGCTTGCATTACACAGAAAAAACCCATCCAATTGTTATTAAAACTGATAAAGCAAATCCTTATTATTAAGTAGTCTTGGCCAAACACAGTGGAAGACACTAATACTGTTAAAAAAGCAGCCAGAGGAAAACCTAAAATAAAATATACTATACCTTCCAGAGGGAAGAAAGTCTCCCAGAGCAAAAACCAACCCAAAGACCACCACAGCAACTCCTACTCCAATCTGAGCTCTAAGTAAGTTAAAAGCACTTCAAATTTTCAGTCATGGTATAAGAATCAGATAAGTGCAAAGCCATTACCTTAGTACCAAGGCCAATCTTGCTACGCTCTGTCTCAACCGGGGTGTCATAGTCAATTGCTCCATATTCTTTGTTTTCCTCCGCTTTTTTCTGCTCAAGCGCTGACCTGAATAGCATACAGAAGAACCAGTTGTCAGGAAATACAATTTCAAGTTTATGTGATACCTCAGCCAACAAGCTGGTGTCATATGCTTATCTGGTGGAAAAAAAATAAGGAAAGAAAATTTCAAATGCATGTATCCAATTGGTATTGCTGTGTTGATCTAGAATAACAAAGATTTGGTCATAGCCAAACATATTTTGGGATTTCAAATGACGCAAAAATATAGAAGCCGATAGCAGAAGGTTTACAATTGAATCTCAGTTCCTAACCAATAAATTTGCATCCCGTTACCGTCTTGCCTAAAGTCCTCAACCATCCACCCTCTCCATCCATACCATGGCATTGCCAAGGTGTGAAATCCTTAGATTAACCACTAACATACATAAAAAATAACAGTTTCGTGGACACCTCTGGTTAGCAAGTTTGCATGTTCAACGACATTCTCTTTGAAAGACATCAGGTTTTCTTCTGTTAGAACTCTTAGTTTAAATATTCCTTTATTTCTAAATGCTAAGCTAAAGCTCTAATATAGAATTGCAAGGTCAAACAACAACACACAACCGAACTTCCAAATGCAACAGAATGATAGGGAAAACAAGAGGAAAGTAGATCATTGGCATTAGTACAAAACTCCTCAGATGTGTGTGCATACATATATTCACCTATGTGTGCAGCATGAACATGTAAAAATACAGACCACTCCATTGAAATGACAGGAATTTTGTCAGGAACGTAATAAAGTTAATCAGAAGTAATCTCATAAATATCTATATACTCGAGTAAAATTTTGTAGACAATTAAAAATACGTCCAATAAACATAAGATCCATGGAAAGATTCACAAAATGTAACACCTTCTAACTGCTTGCAGCCGTTCCTCAAATTGAAGATCCAAGGCAATATTCTTTAAGTTTTCATCACTTTGAGATCTTAACCCAGGTGCCTCTACAAAGAAAAGGCCAATTTGGCAATGATGCAACAAAATTGAAATGAATAATATATAGAACAAGTCCAAGTAAGTTGAATGAAAACGGTTACAAATTAGTTACATAGCGCACAGTTGTGTGGCCTATACAATGGCCTAATATTCAGCCCTCCACCCCTTGCTGTATCTTCATCTGGAGATGTTAATATGCACCAGGCCTTTCAAATAGAAATGGCAACTAGTACAGCTTATTTTGGCCAATATTGGGAAGCATCTTCCAACAAGACTATAACTGTTGTAGATGTAGAAAATTAGTAAATTATTTGCAGTTTAATAGGAAATATGACTCTTGATTAATAACAATAGCGTAACAGGATTCACGTTGCTGACCCAAAATATTTGGGAAAAGACTAGTGAGTTGAACAGATGTAAAAAAACAATAAATTTCATTTTCAGTCATCCATCTTTTTTCTTTCCCTAGCAATTGAAGTGCCCCATAAGCTATAAGGGCAAGCTATATGTATAAATACCGTGATCAGCTGTTGAACTAAACGTTCGAACAGCATCCAGCAAGAATCGAAGCAACTAAACAGCATTACAAAAGTATGGTCCTAAATTAAGAAAGTTTTAAGACTAACAGACTTACGACTAGGTAGACCACCAGATTGTTGAGAGGTTGACTTCCTGCGCCAAGTAACAATCATGATTGATGAAGCTATTATGAATTTAAAAGCCCAGTAACAAGAAAATTCAAAATACTTCTGATAACAAGCAAAGTAACTGAACAAGACAGGTGGTGAAAGTCATTAATAATTATAAACACTTGATGTGGAAAAAAAGGAAAAGAAAGGGTGATGTGCTTTAATAGCTAAATTAGTCACCAAGCTCGATTAGACAGGCTGCATGGAGCAAAAGACACACCTTTTCCATTTTAATCTCTTCAAAGAAATAGAAACAAGATTTTTTTCTGGCTGCAAAAGTTGCTGTAAGGGCAATAGTAAGGCTATAGTCATAAGCTACACCAATAAGATTCCCACAGAGATTTTGTTCTCTACTTCCATATTTATATACATTCATTCATCTTTCCGTACCTTCGATAACAGTGATAAAGATTAGTTTCATTACATCTACTAAAACAATTCCCAGCTAAACAGCAGAAATATTCCTGTTTTAAAGGAATTGCAACAAGGATGAAATGAAGCAATTAACACTGCATAAAAGAAAGGTAGAACCAGGATTTAATGCATCATTAAACCAATAGTAGTATGACAACTAGCCGACTGCTGACAACATGAGCGAAAGAATACCAACCAATGGTGTGACAATGTGCTAAAGGAAAGCCAATAATATGCTATGAAGTTAAATGGTATGAGTGGCAACAAGGACAGGAAACAAAAGTATCATATGTTGTTAGCCAGCTATATTGCTGATTTTCGGTGTTGATTATTTATGGATCTTGATGGTACGAGTCTTTTGAGTCCTTAAAAAAAGCTGCTTTAAGCATCCCCAAACGCAATAAATTCCGTCATTTTACAGGTGACATGTGACCCTTGAGGTTGTCGCAAGTAGAGTGTTACTTACAGGTTATTCTGAAGACAAGATGAATGTTTGATTCATTATCAGCTTGGCAAGAACAAAAAGTGACATTTCTGTGTCGGGATTTAATTTACAGTATCGTAGAAAAGAACAAAATGCAGAGCAAAAAGTGCAACTGAAAAGTTAGAAGAGTTGGAATGCCCGTAATTAGGTGAATTCCTAAGAGCTATTCGAAAGGAAAAGTCATTGAGTTTCTTGTCAGATACCTTTGTCGTAAAGATGTGCCCTTCTCCTCCCTTGAGGTTGTGACTTTGTTTGCCTGAGTATTTGAAAGTACCAAGCAAACATAAATAACATGCTACTATAAATTTTACCAACACTTGACAAAAAGCTTGGCCATTTAGTTATTCTATCCCTCACGGTTCACCATCTAAGGAACCATTCAACAACACCTTAACTTTTCAAGATTATGAGTGAAAGAAATATCAAGAACCAAAAGAAATGTGCAGAGAGAGAGAGAGAGAGTCACATCCCATTGACAATAATGACCGCCAAAGTGGTTGGTGGTAAATGCAAGGTACTTATGAAGCATATATTGAAGATTGGTTTTAGGTTTAATTTAGAACTTTAATTCATTAGGTTGGGAAATTGAATATTTTCATTTTCCATTTAAGGAGTTGTTAATTAGTGTTTTAGGTGGATAACATATTACTTTACCAAGGCACCTCGAAAATTCTATTTTGTCTATGGATATTCTTACAAGTGGAGTGACTCTGTCTCCAACAGCAGTTCTTAAGCTTTCGTCACTTTTGCCCATGAGTGTGGATCATCAGATTGACGTAAGACAGTATTATGATTTACTCCATGGTGATTCTTGGTGCCACATAATATGCACTATACATACATAGGTTGAAGCAAAGAATGGCATTGGCAGAAACTAGTCTTTTCATGTGAAATCAGAAAGCTCAAAGTATATATTTTTGCTAATGAGCTTATGCATTTGTTAAAACAAGAAATTGAGTTAGCCTTTCATTCAAATCGCACAGAGGATAAGCTCTTTGCTGAAAAGTACTACGCCAACGAAAAAAAAATATATGTTATTCAATCAGAGACCGCGGTTGAAGAAATAAACAAGTGGACTAATGGATTTATTGAATATAAAATAAAATGCATCAATTAAGTCAGGAAATTAACTTCTTTTTTTCCCACAGTTCCTATGATATTGAAACAGAACTCCATCATGATGAAAGAGAACGAACACATAATCATAACGATGATGATGATACCTTGGAGTCCTTTTGAGGCCCAAAACCACGTTTTGGATTCGAATCAGAGCATCGGATTTGAATTTGAGGCATACAACCACAAAGCCGGCGTGTAGATGCAGGTTGTTGAGCCAGAGAGGAAGAAGAAGTGCATAGTGACAAGTGCTTCCCATGATGATTTCTGAATCTCGTACTAGCCATTGTTGTTGTCGTTGCAATCGACATATTGCCACAACTAATTGGCCTGTAAAGGAGACGAAAAAACAAATAATTCGAATTCGAATTCAAAGCAAAAACATAGAAACGCAGAGAGATTTCTTGTATTATATTGTTATTGATTTCATGTGAGCAAGAGAATCTAGTAATGCAATCTAACCTTTCTCATGGATTCTATGCTCCTTTGTCCTTGGCGCGCTTTCTTTCTTTCTACACTGTCAAGNGAATTCAAAGTAAAAACATAGAAACGTAGAGAGATTTCTTGTATTATATTGTTATTGATTTCATGTGAGCAAGAGAATCTAGTAATGCAATCTAACCTTTCCCATGGATTCTATGCTCCTTTGTCCTTGGCGCGCTTTCTTTCTTTCTACACTGTCAAGCCACACTGCCGCAGATAAGGCGCTCGCGCTCTCTCACTCTCTTAAAAAAGGGAAATATTTTGGATTTGGGATCCTAAATTTCATCCCAACTCTTAAAAGAAAAAAAAGGGAAATATTTAGTTGCACGACCTTTATCCTCTTTAATATCCAAATCTGACACTCTTTTTAGTTTATATTTAAATATTACTAATATATTAACCGTTTAGACCATCGTTTTTAATAAAAAGAATTTATCTAAAATATTAAAATTATCTCTAAACAATATTTTTATATAAATTTGATTAAAATTTAGTTTTTTACATATTAAAATTCAAATTAATTAAAATTCTTTTTTTACGTATTAAAATTTTAACCGATTAAAATTTGATTCGAATTAATTAAATTTTATTTTTTTACGTATTTATATTCGAGCCTATTAAAAAGAAATTACATATTAAGATTCAAGTGGATGATTTGAGCTAAACCTAAGTTGTTAGCACCAATTAAAATTCATGTCAATTAAAATGCAAGTTGATTAAAAATGAATTTTAATCGGCTTGATAGGATTTTAATCGGTTCAAATTTTAATACGTTAAAAAATATAATTTTTAATCGATTCGAATTTTAATACTTAAAAAATAAAATTTAATTAACTCGAATGAAATTTTAATTGTCCCGAATTTTAATACATAAAAAAATTTAAAAATTAGAAAGGTTCTCATTGAATATNTCTTTATCCTCTTTAATATCCAAATCTGACACTCTTTTTAGTTTATATTTAAATATTACTAATATATTAACGTTTAGACCATCGTTTTTAATAAAAAAAAATTATCTAAAATATTAAAATTATCTCTAAACAATATTTTTATATAAATTTGATTAAAATTTAATTTTTTACATATTAAAATTCAAATTAATTAAAATTATTTTTTTACGTATTAAAATTTTAACCGATTAAAATTTGATTCGAATTGATTAAATTTTATTTTTTTCCGTATTTATATTCGAGCCTATTAAAAAGAAATTACATATTAAGATTCAAGTGGATGATTTGAGCTCAACCTAAGTTGTTAGCACTAATTAAAATTCATGTCAATTAAAATGCAAGTTGATTAAAAATGAATTTTAATCGGCTTGATAAGATTTTAATCGGTTCAAATTTTAATACGTTAAAAAATATAATTTTTAATCGACTCGAATTTTAATACTTAAAAAATAAAATTTAATTAACTCGAATGAAATTTTAATCGTCCCGAATTTTAATACATAAAAAAATTTAAAAATTAGAAAGGTTCTCATTGAATATGTAGTTTACCTAGAGGGAATGTGGACAAAAAAATTTCTTAAAATATATCAAGTACAATTTAGTAAAATTATATTATTGTTAACACCTTTAATCTAGCAGAAGGTGTTAACGAAGATTCAAAAAATATAGGAGGTATATTTGAATATATAATAAACTAGAAGAAAAAATCAACAACACTCACTAATTTAAGGGCTTGGGACTAGTTTAATTACTGTATTATAAAAAAATGGAATATATTAGATAATAAATGTTAATCTTGTATAAGGGAATAAAATATATATATGTNATAGAAGGTGTTAATGAAGATTCAAAAAATATAGGAGGTATATTTGAAGATATAATAAACTAGAAGAAAAAATCAACAACACTCACTAATTTAAGGGCTTGGGACTAGTTTAATTACTGTATTATAAAAAAATGGAATATATTAGATAATAAATGTTAATCTTGTATAAGGGAATAAAATATATATATGTGACAAAAATACTATCCATTTTAATACAGTGTAAGACAAGACACTGGGTTAAGATTGAGATAATAGATAGTATTATAATAGATTCAGTTAGTATTATAATAAAATTTATAGTACGGATAAAACGTTTTAATTGTCTATGTATTTGAAATAATTTTATATATAATATAAAATATTTTTTAAANCATGTTAATCTTGTAAAAGGGAATAAAATATATATATGTGACAAAAATACTATCCATTTTAATCCACTGTAAGACAAGACACTGGGTTAAGATTGAGATAAATAGATAGTATTATAATCAAATTTATAGTACGGATAAAACGTTTTAATTGTCTATGTATTTGAAATAATTTTATATATAATATAAAATATTTTTTAAAATTAAATATAATATAAAGTTAGATTAAAGAGTTTTAATCTACTATAATTCTTTAATTCACCATTTAATATTATAACAAACCGATTCTAAAAATCTTAATTTTAAATATAATTTTAGATCTCTAGCATTATTTAAAAAAACTAAAAAGAAGGAATGTTTATCCACTATCTAAGGACTCCAATAAGATTAAGTAATATCATATTTATTAAATTTGCACGCCAGGCATGTTTGCTTTTGTGTAGTAGAGTGGATGGGATCGGAGTATCATTTTCAATCCATTCCACCCCTGGTGTAGCAAAGCATAAGTTAGTTTTATTTTCCTATCCTTGATCTTATTTTTTTATATAGCTTGCAGGTTTGTGGGAACCACAAAGGAGAAGAGCATTAATACTTAATAGTGTCTTCATTTGATCATTTACACAAAAATGCCCCTTCATTTATTTATGGCAAAAGTTTGAGAAGGGTATTTTAGTCTTTGAGTGAACTTGTACCACCTACCAAAGTCTTATACCACTTACACTATGGTATTAAATAGCACCACATTGATGAGAGATAAACAACTTTTCACTTTGGACTCAGTATTCAACTACCTCGTTATAATTCGGCCGTAAAACAAAACAAACAAAGTATTAATCAGACTAGAATTATTTATACCGTATCGAGAACCTTGTACCCACCTAAACCTTGAAACAAACGTGCCCCAAATGATTAAATAGTGGATTTCATTGTTAATCAATGATCGACAATCATTTAGTGCATAAATTTGATTCACGTATCATTTTTGTAAAAAATTTCATGCTGAATAGTGAAGCTCAAATTCAGGTCGAAACCTATTAGCATCTGAATGGAAAAACCTCGATCATTACTATTTTGAGATTCAAAATCTTTAGTCGTAATCATTGTATACTCTTAAGAATTTATTTTATTATTGCAGATTAAAAAAAACTCAAAATTGGTATAATTTATTATTTTAAAAAAAATAAAGTTATATTCCCTCCGGTCTTAAATATATGTTGTTTAAGGTTTTTATACAAGAATTAAGGAAGCTATTAAATAGCTCTAATATGAGTAAAAAATTATTGCACAAGACTATAATACTCTTATTCAATACGTATTGAAAAGGAAAATAATATTAAAGGCACTAAATCTACACTTAATCTATTAAGCACTTATTGAAAAACATAAATAAGGGTAAATTTGGAAGAAAAAATATTAATTATGCTTTGGTTTCATTAAACGACGGATATTGTGAAAAAAAAAATTTGTGTAAAACAACATATATTTAAAAACGGAGAGAATAATTAACTAAGGTTGCCACAGTTGTATTNTTTTTTGTGTAAAACAACATATATTTAAAAACGGAGAGAATAATTAACTAAGGTTGCCACNAAATTTGTGTAAAACAACATATATTTAAAAACGGAGAGAATAATTAACTAAGGTTGCCACAGTTGTATTCATAAGAACTCGTGGTTTGCCAAGTCCAATTTAAGTTATTAAAAGTAAGTTCGGGTGGGGATAAACAACACAAATTCTTGAAATTCAAAATTTCAATTATCATTGCAAATTTTAAACGATTAATAGAACTCCTAAAAAGGAACATAAGAAATTAATGTTTTTTTTGATAAGAAACAACATTGTATTTGATTAATAACATAAGAAATTTTGAAAGAATCAAGTTCACCAACTAATCCAAGCCCAGTTGCTTTAATAAATATAGACTAGAGATAACCCGTAACTGAAAGAACGGTGTAATGTAAATCAATGTTAATGATTTTGAGTGTGATGTTGATAGTTGCTAAATGAGTATATTTGAAATTGTCGGATAAACTTATTGAAATATGTCTTATTTTATATTATAAATTGTGAGCAAGAAACCCATTCACTTAAATGGAAACACCAACTGCTGATTGATGTTAAATACCAACACACCCAAAAAAGAATAGAGACCACAGGAGCATGAAGGGCATGAAGAACAGGAGCATGAAAGCTACTTAACCCTTGCATTTATTACAACATAATGTTTACTAGGCCTTTTACTGTTTCACATATAAATTGATTAGGTGCGAGAACTGGAGAAGGGACATTGAACCTCCTCCGTCTATCGAGAAACGAGAAAAAAATCACTGTCTGGTAATGTAAATACGTACAAATGCATCAGTGTGTTTGTGTGTGTTTATATATGACTGTGTTTGTGTGTGGTTATATATAACAGTGTGTGTTGGAGTAGGGATGGACTCCCTCCCATGTATACTCTAATCCCAGACATTTGTTCAAGGGCCTATGATGGCCTGATGTGTCTTGTAGCTCCATGAATGTCCCACTCACAAGGTTGTATGAGATGAACATGCCTGGAATGTGAAGCACCATAAATGACTCTTCGTCTTCTTCTTCTTCTTCTCCTTCTCCTTCTCCTTCTCCACGTCGGTGTATAAGATGCAAAATTGAGAAGATAAAACGGTGAATTTGCTGAACGTGTTCCCTTACCATCCCCGGATATTTTACTGCCATTGCATTAAGATTGACATGATACTTAACAAACCAACCAGAGTAGTCTCTCTTCATCTCCATCACATCAAACACAGTTGTATGAGGACCATAAATCTCGATCAAATATAGGTGGCCTCCCGATTCACCAAAATACCCCAGTCTCCTTTCCACCCATCCCTCATGAATTGAGGGCATTGGCATCTCGTGCAAAAGCTCTCGTTCAACATCAAAACGAAGTGATAAATCTCCCCTACCAACCCAATGCAACGAACCATTCCAAAAAACACCTCGGTTAAAAAGCATATCATCTGCCGCAATGAAAGGATTGCCTGAAATTCTCCATGACTCTCTGTCTCTAGAGTATAGCTTAATGTGGCGATGATGATCTGAGATTTCAGAGTCACAAATGCAAATAACATGGAAATGGGGAGACTTGCTAGGGTCGAATGCAATGTTAATGCCGAAGACAGTTCTACAATCCAGTCTGGGAAGGGAGAAATATTGCTTGGTGGTGGGCATACAAATGTAATATATGCGATCTTCTTCATGGCAACGGAAGCTGCAGCAGATTAGGAGGCCATTACATGAATGTCGAATACAGACTCCTTCCTCATCCTCTATGAAAGAAAGAGATGGCTCGGGAGCGATATCAATTTGCCCATCAAATACAATGAACCTTAATTCTGAAAATAGCTCAAGAAACAAGAACTTCTGCAAGTAGAATCCAGAGACACGCAGGTGTGGATTTTGACGAGAATAATCAGAGATGAAGATGGGGTCAGAGAGAAGACGATACCAGGACTTACAGACACACTTGGCTTTCAATATAGACTTTATGGGCAGCCGAGTCAGTATCTCGACCATGACATCATTTTCTCCAAAACATGTCAAAGACTGTTTATTGCAAAGATTCAAGCTTGGAATCGTCTGATCGTCCTGCAATAGGATTTGACCAATGAATTTAACTCATCATTTTTAGTTAATAGCTAATAAGTTAAGAAGACTATATAACTCATTCATTGTTAAACGATAGGATCATCATTTCTAAAACGATAGATCAAGTTCATAACTTTTCACAAACACAGATGCCAAGAAGAAATCAATAGACAAATGATATAACTAATCATTTTTAAGTTGACACGATGGGGCTGGCCTTGACAGCAAGTAACTTATCAGATTAGACCATTCAAAATAGGCCTAAGAAGACATGATCCCAAGTTTTTTTTTCTTTGGGAGGTACTTTGTTTTTTCTCTTTCTCAATCTAAGCATGCACATTTTCTTGTACACTTATATAGAAATTACGTCTTTCTATTTTTTAGAATATATTTTGAATTATAAATGGTATTTTTTCGAACTCTGTCTGGAACTCACTAGAGGCCTGGGAAACAAAGAGAAGATGTGTACAAATGAGATATCCAGCAAAGAGAAGAAGGAAAAGGATTGAATGGAGACTTATAAAAATGCGGGAGAGATAAAAAAAGATAACGGGTCGTTTGTCAGCTTGGCTAGTCAAGTATGGGCTAATTCATAGATTTTGGGGCTTTGATTACCAAGGAATAGAGACTTTACAAATAAAACCCGAGGAATGGCCTTCCAGAATCCAGATCGAGTTAAGAAGAACTTTGCATAAAAGCAAATGCCAAGAAGAAATCAATAATTAATCACATGCCATTCATGCTAATTCCAAAACTTCATATAAAACCTCACTGCAACAACACGACTGTTTCAACAATTTCTCACACGATTGACGACAGAATAGAAAACCTAATAATGTAATCTACTGTCATCCCTTCCAAACTGGACCGAATCTGTAAGTGGTTTGTTTCAAAAGCAAAAGCGTTGCTGCAAAATTGTGATATTCCCAAAAAACACACACAAATCTTCATCAAATGGTTATATAAATTTGATGTGAACATATGCAGAAGAAATATCGTTGCATTCAAAAATAAGATAAATTCCAAAAAAAAAATTGATTCGAGGGTGAGGGGTGCCCCCTCTCCGGTCCAGTAGATCGGTCTCCAGTCTCCGGTCTCCGGTCTAGTCAAAGACACACTATCAACGTAGTATTCTACTACATGAGAGGTAAATCCCATGGTCTGGCCCCAAGGGTTACCAGGACGAACTTTAGAAATAATATAGCTCGTCCCTGATACCTCGTCCCTGTTATGTGAATGTTAATCAATTTTTTTGGTAATTCACTCGCAATTGGACATAATCATCACTTCTATTGTCGTTGTTGGTGATTAAAAAAAAAAACCATCAGATGCGATTCGTGAAATAACCAAAAAAATCAAATTTGATGTAAACCCACAACTATACACAATCGAATACCGGGGACAAAAAAAACCCAGTGGAGATTCAAAAGGAAAAAGCAAGAATACCATTTTGTGTTGTGCTTCTTTTTCGTGATGATCAACGGTGTCTGAGCAATTTGCAGATCCAAAATGTAGGAAAGAGAAAGGGAGGAATCGCTAAACGGCACAGTGGCAGAATTTCCCTTTGTTTTTCGTAGAAGAGAAAAGGAAAATGGGGGGTTGAAGGACTGGGCTGTGAATGAAGACCCAGACCCCTCCTCCTCACGGTCTTCTACTTTGGCTCCATGGAAAAGAGAAGAATGTTGTTGTTATTCTTCTTCGTCAATTTCTTTTCTACAAGACAAAGTTATTTATTTGACTTCCACAAAGAGGAAATTTAAGAGGAAACTGCGCGTAAAAGTCAAAGAATCTGAAATGTGTGCTTTTTTCCCGTTGGAAACTACACCTTTGTTTACTTTGACATCAAGCATACCAATCAGGACGATGCATCTCTCCTGTACCCGTTGCTCCCGGAATTTATAATTTATAATTGAGTTAATTATAAATTTTACCCTAAAAATCGTTCGAATTTTAATTTATATCTTTAAAGATAAAAATTTGTATTAATGCGCACACGAAACTAATAACTGTCAGTTTGCCTTTTAAAATTAAATGAATAAATTATACCTAGATTCCCTCGTACTTATCACTTAATCATTTAGACTCGTTCACATTTAAAATATTACTCTTACATCTCCTGATGTTTGTACACGTGTAACATATAACCTCTTGTTGTTGATATCTGTTATAATTTTATCGTAATAAAAAATTATAATTTTATACTTCTTTTATTTTGTGGGTCTGTTATACTTTAAAGTTCAAAATTAAGTTTATCATTTGAATATCCAATATAATGTAAGTATTTATATAACATTCTCTATATCTAATACAATACATTGCTTAAACAGAATTATTTAAATGTCCAATTAGAATAATATTTTTAGTCATATTTAGATTTTTAAGATATGTAGGTGTAATATTTTAAATGTGATGGATCTAAGTGATTAAGTGACAAGTATGAGAGGGTCTAGATATAATTTATTTATTTAGTTTTAAACGGGAAAAAATTTTAACTACATCCCTTCTAATTTATTATATCTTCAAGGACACCCTCTCAATTTTAGAATCTTCAGTGACACCCTTGGCAGATTAAAAATATTAACTAAAATGTAATTTTATTAAATTATCCATGATATATTTGAAGACTAACTTCATCCACACTCCCTCTAAACAAACATATCTTAAATGAACCCCCTCTAAATAAGTATATCTTCAATGAGACCTCATATGTTTTTTAATTTTTTTTACGTATTAAAATTCGAGTCGATTAAAATTCGATTCAAGCTAATTAAAATTTATTTTTTTACATATTAAAATTTGAGCCAATTAAAAATTAAATTTTTTTACGTATTAAAATTTGGGCTAATTAAAATTTTATTTGAGCCAATTAAAAATTATTTTTAATCGACTCAAATCAAATTTTAATCAATTCACATTGAATTTTAATCAGCCCAAATTTTAATACATAAAAAAATATAAATTTTAATTGACTCAAATTTTAATAAATCGAATTTTAATTGACTCGAATTTTAATAAGTAAAAAAATATAAATTTTAATCGACTTGAAAGAAAATTTTAATCGGTCCTAACAACTCGGATAGAGTTCAAATTTTAATATGTAAAAAAAAATTTAATGGGCTCGAATTTTTTTAAAAAATTTATGAATTAGTAAATAACAAATTAGTATTTACTAAAAAATTATTTACTAAAATTTTTATTTACGAATTTTTTTAAAACTTTAACAGCTCAAATTTTAATTAAATTTTATGTAGAAAAATTCCTTGAGGTTTATATAGGGGCATTTTTGGTATTTTAGATAAATTGTTTTGGTTAAAAATAATAATTTAATGATAGGGGGTGTTAGTGATGTTTAAATTAAACTAGAAGAGGTGTCAGAGATGTTTTTGATAATAGATGGAGTGTCCTTAAAAATATAGTAAACTAGAAAGGGTGTGACTGAAATTTTTCTTATAAATTTTTATTTTTGAGGATATAAATTGAAATTTGAATGATCTTTCGGGATATAATTTGAGATTAACTTTTTATAATTTATTAAAAAAAATTGTCATTATTCCTCACCTTTCACTTTGAGACGTTAGATAATAAATTATTGAAATTAGTTGGGTAATAAAAAATAATTTTAAATATATATAAACTAATTATTGTACCCTAACTATGGATTTGTTTTCCCAAAACCTACAATTTTGGTAAACATTTATGATCACTCTATGATCCTATTTTAGCACATACCCAAAATTGGATATTATTTGATAGTTTAATCAACTCAAGCATATGAAACCAAAAAATAGAAATTGATGCCTCTTGTCACTTAAATGTTGATGAAACTCTTCTTGCACCAGGACACTCAAACTTAGCATTCATTTACCATCATGAATTTTTTTTCCAAAAGATAGAATAAAAACTACTTAAAAATTATATAATAAATTACAAATATCTTTAGAATCAAGTCAAAAAAAAAATGAGAGAGAATTGCAAGAATCTTCAAGAGATGATTTGCCTAGAATGTAGAAAGATGATACTAATTTCCTTTGGAAATAATGCAACCTATCTTCGACACTAAGAAAATGTCGAAGACCAGAACCAAATCATGTAAGAGCCTCACTTCCAGTCATCCTTGAGACACTCGCATTCAAAAAATTCATACAAAATCCTATTTACCAAACTTTTTTTTCTTGGCTAGGCGTTTAGCACGTGGAGAAAATCTTGCAAACACTGTCTGAGAAGATAGGTTTATTACTGTCTCCCCAAATTTGAGACTAATATCATTCTCCTCAAGCTTTCTAGCATATCCTTCTTTCTCATACTGCAAAAAAAAAAAAAAAAAAAAAAAGCAAGTCCATAGATTTTTAGCCTTTTTGAGACCAAAACAAGACACACCACCTAACTTAGCCAACCAGACATAACGTTGTGGAAATGCGTGATTAAATTAGCCCATTGCACATGAGCAAGCAAAGAGCCATCCACCTCAACCAAGGTCAAAGCTGATTACAAGGTAGAATGCTCGGATAAAATTCAATGACTATCCGCCACCCACTTATTAGTTTCATCTTCCCGGTGAGTTTGTCTATTGGGTTGAAGAACAATGAAAGTTGACAAAGCGGAAGCAAATGACATTGACTAACAGGAACAACCTATACATTTTTAAGCTTTCAACATAGATTGGTACCATATATTTGAATTGACAGTTTACTGTTGGTGCTTCTACCAAGATTGGGAGTAGCAATTTTTAAAAGGTAGGCAGCACAAACGTGGTGCTTTCGAATTTATAGGAAAAAACATATCCCGGCTAATACGAAATTCAAACAACCACCGACAAAATATCTAAACAAAAATTCTTCTTGCCTAATGGTCATCAAGAAATTGTGAAATATTGCCAATAGAATTGTTAATCATACTTGTATAGGGTACATCCTTTTACATTGGATAAACTATAATCTTCCTCGCTTCTATACAATTCTAAATCAAAACATTAATGTCAAATCTTAACCAAAAAACAAACCATACTATTTCAAATGAATAGTGAAATCTTCATCACACCACATACTGCGATGTTACCAATCTCATCAACTAACTACTGCATTCACAAACCTATTAGTCAAGCCCCTAGTTGCTCCATTTACATGACTGACTATCTTAACTGAAACAACGGACGAAAAGTACTTTGGACACCGAATAAGTAATTGCTTGGCAGCACTCAAGGTGAAATTCACTACCGAGGTCCAAGTCCTCCATCTCATTTGGTTGGCCCATTGTTCAAATCCTCTTGTATCTCTAGTGATTTTAAGTTCACGTAAACGTACTTGAGTAATAAAAGGAAGCCCATCATTATTGGTGATTAAGTTTCTGCAAAGAAAAGAAAGGTTTTGCCCTAGGCACAAAGCAATAATCTGCTGCCACGGCAAATAAATCAATTAGCGCTTAACCGAGGAATGACATTTTCATTGAAGAAAAAACAACTTTGAAGGCAGCAGATGCCGATTTCAAAGGAAATTGAAGTAACTTTCGAACCTACACTTACTTTCCGAAAACATCTTATGAACCTGTTGGTAGAAATTAATATTCTTCGATCATCGTATTGACGATTTGGGACCTATTTTGTCTGGGATGACAACAATAAATTTTTCATATAGGTCTCTTGCCTTGAGCAAAAAGTTCATTACTTAACCCAAGTCAAAGATCTACAAAAGGTGGAAAGCTAAGATAGCATGATGATGACCTCGATTCCGCTCCTGCTTCAATCGCTTTCATCTTCCTTATGGCTTCGATAATGAGTTGATAAAAAATGGGAATTGAGAGAGATGGATAGTAAATGAGAATTGAGGAAGAGAGATAGAGAGAGAATAAATTTAAAAAAAAAAAGGAAACCAAACGACACTCAAATATTAGTGCTATTATCACCGATGATGATCCCGCTCCCACTTCGAGCACTTTCATCTTCCTTGTGGGTTTGTTAATGGGATGATGAAAAAGGAGAATTAATAGGGTAGTAAATGAGAGAGAGAGAAAGAGAGAGTAAACCAAACAATGCTCAAGAGTAAACAAAAGGGTGCTCAAATGTTCATGTCATTAATGGAAATTTAGGCAAAAATTGAGATTATATAATTGTTGAAGGGTAAATAAGGCAATCAAAAGTTTTTTGCTTTAACTATTTTTTAGAAGTAGTATAGATAAATAATGGATAGTTAGTGGGAAATTAGATTAGTTATTACTGATGTATGCTAGAATATAATTGATTTTTCTTAGTTTTAATTTAATAATTTAAATTTTGAAAAAGTTAAAAAGTATAAAAAGAAGGCCTCCCATGGCTTATTCCACCTAATTTATTTGTTATAATAATATAAATAAACTAGTTATTCTTTGTGCCTAAAGACACAAAATAATAAAAAAAAATTGTCAATCATAAACATATTTGTATTCATACTCAAAATCAAATCATAAAACATAGAAGAGAGAAAATAAATTTAAGTATTGATTATAATAGGAGGTGAGCAGCAGTAATGATAGTGGGTGGCAGTGGTGGAAGACGGTGATGGTTGTGGTGGTCGACAACGATTGTGGTGATAGTGACAGTCGTGAATGATGGCAGCGGTGGTGGCATGGTGATGACGGTAGTGATGGTGGATAGTGACGATGGTGGTGGTGGTGATGGGTGTGAGTAGTAATGAGCAACGACAAGTACTTGTGTGTAGTCGTGGTGGTGGTGAGTGGTGGCGAATGGGTGGCGACGACTATGAGTGGTGGGTGGTTGTGGTAGTGAGTGACGGTGGGCGGTGGCGGTAGGCAGCGGTGGGTGGTGGAATGATGGCAATAGTGGTAATAAATATAAAAATTAAACGATAACGATGGTGAGTGATAGCAGTAGGCAACAGTGGTAGTAATCAGTAGTGGTGGTAATGGTGGCAAAGGTGGTGGTGGGATTGACAATGATGGTGGGAGTGGGGGTGAGGCGATGGTGAGGTACCGACAACAGTGGTGGTGGTGGTGGGGTGACGGCGACACAGTTGATGGTGAAGAGTTTTGTAGAGAAGTGAATTTAAAAAAATAAAAGTTATTTATTTATTTATTTTTACGTTTACTTACTTATTTAAGTGATAAAATTAGTTGTTTCAAACATTACTTTTTTTTTTAAGTACTTATAAGAAGTCATAAATCATCAAAGTACTTTTAAAAAATTACTCCAAATAAATCTTTAGGGTGTTATTTTCCCTATTAAATTTGAAAAATTAATATTAACTATCAAATTAATTTTTAAAAAAAATTTAAAACAATTTCAACCGTAAAAAACAAAAGTAATTGTTTATGATAAGGATAAAATTTTAGGCATGGGCCACCTACAAGCCCGAAGCCCAAAAGCCAAAAGGAATTGGAAGAAAATCCAGTAGCCCAACATAAAGTGCCTCTGATCAAAAGCTGAAAGAGAAAGGCTCAACGGGCACCCGAGGGGCAATGGCCAAGTCTCGGCCCAATTAGGTGTCAACTAAAGGACAGTCTGAAGAGAATGAATCAGATCTTTGCCTTGGAGTCATCCCGCAATGCCATGCGTTCAGAGAACAGGGGGACCATTTTTAAAACCTGCGAAAGCTACATCCTCCAGCACGCAGAAGATAAAAGAGTATAACGCCACAGAGATCGTGGGCGCAGTGACGTCGGCTGGAAAAGGCTTTTGTAGGCCAATAACAGGAGATCCCCACAAGATCGGTAAAAGGTAGAAGAAATCACAAAGAGAGACAACCCATATATAAATAGAACAGTGCCCTACAAAAAGGGCATTCCTGGAGAACATTGATAAACCATGTCCATTCTATAAAAAAAACACAAACCCCTGTAAAGGCCCAGCGCCTGAATCCCACCTATATACATCATAACTTTAATATACAATATTAAGAAGCAAGTGACTCCATTATAGTGGATGTATCATCGGTCTACCGACTGGAATGAACCACTTATCTTCTTCTTTTTCTCTTTGATTAGACAATTCAATCTATCAAACCCGTTCTAACACCAGACCCAATAACCTCACATACGTTGGGCTTGGGTTGTAATTTCTGAGACCCCATCAATTTATGTTGTAATTTATTATATAGATTATTAACTTATTTACTATTAAAGTGTTTAAATTATTCAAAAAGAAAAAAAAAGTGAGATAAAAGCAAAACATTAGAAAGATTTTTTTTTTTTTTTTTATCACGGACATTGACGTTCGGGAAGATGGGATACTCCAAACTTTAAGTTATACATTGTATCATATACCCCATTTAACTTTCTAATTTCATGCTTTTAAACTCGCCCCACTAAACTAACACTCAACTCAATAAAATTTTGTCTCAATACATAAATTCTGTTTTGTCATTAAACTCTATTAAATAAATATTTTTAATTAAATCATAAGTTATCGTATCTTTTTTTATTATTTTTGTTTAAAATTAATTTAATCTTTTTCTACCCTTAAATTTATTTTCAATAACTATTGTATTATTCTTTTTCACCGATGCCGTCTATAAATATGCCAAAATCACCTGAGTCAACTTTTCCTTAACTTATTTACTATATCACTATACGTTTTATCTCTACTTTTTTTATATCCCTCATAAACAATTCCCACCCCACTATACCAACATCCCAGTTATAGATCATGCTACTCTATTAATGCATTGAATAACTCTTTTTTGTAAATACAATTTTACCAAAGTCTCAAGCTTGTCATTTCCATAGCATTTAAACTAGAGGAATTTAAAAGTCAGTACAAAAATTTGAACTTAATTGAACTAAATTACATTAAAAAAATTTATTTGTTCCTAAGTACAATTTTTTGGAAAAAAAAATAAAAATTAAACGGTACTCTCTCTCTCTCTCTCCGTTATTCTATCACTCCTATCTTCTCTATTTTCTCTCTATTTCCGTTACTCTATATATCTATACCCTATTCTCTCTCTCTCCCACCTATTTTATCTCACAACTAGTCATAATCATTGCCTGAAGACACGATAAAATATAAAATTCGAGCGTCCAAAAAATCGATCTCACTATATTAAATTTTTTAAAAATATATTAACTACAAATTAATTAAATATTAAATAATTAAATATATGATAGAAATAAGTGGTGTGATATTTTTAGGGATGAAATATATAAATAATTAAATATGTGATAAAAATGATGGATGTGATTTGATGTTTAAATTTGACAAAGGAATGAGAAATGAGGTAAGTGATTGGTGCTGATTTTGAGAGAAAAAATATGACTAAGATAAAATTCAAGTACACTCTTCTTTTATTATATAGATAGATTACTCTTCCTTTCCATATTGTCTATATCAATGTTACAATAATACAATTATCCTATAATACACCGGTTATTTATGTGTGTCCTAATAAATTAAATAATTACACGAAATACAATATGATGGTCGCAAAACTAATCATTACCAACTGAAAACTTCTTGTTGAATGAAGAAGAGAATAATTTCCATGAGTTTCTGCACTCTAGCACTCCTCCCTTCTCCTGCTCTTTTATATCTCAATTTTCGAACAACAAAAATGCCGGCAGTAAATCAATGGAGATGGAGCAAAAAGCAATCTGAACAGAGAGAAATTAAAGCAGATATCATTTCATTGATAGATCGATCGATAGTTCAAGAAGAAGAAGAGGGGTTAATCTTCGTAGCGGAGCGAACAGCATTCCAAATCTGTCCAAAAGCCCCAGCCACATGAGGAAGCACACCCCCAATCCCGCGAAGAACAGCACCGGAAGCGACTCCGATCGCGAGGCTTTCGGGGTACCCAGGCTTGGAGTCAACTTTCATCTCAAGATTCACCAGGCGAACGTTAATTACATCCAATTTCCTGGAGATTTCGGCCATGGAATTGCCCTTTTTGTTGCCGTTGCCGCCGTTGTTTTTGCCTCCTCTGTTGGAGGTGACTACCCTGAAGAGCACGTTCTGGAGATCTTCGATGACTTTGACGGAAGCTTCTTGGGTTTCCATGCCCTGAGACTCGTAGTGAGCTATCAGCTCTCTCGCGTTTGGTAGCTTCTTTCTCTTCTGTGTGTTGCCATTCCTTTCCTCTGAAGCTGATGATATTTGAGATTGGTTTGGAGTGGCAGGCTTTTCCATTGATGTCCGTATTGAAGGAAAAGCCAAGCTCCTAACGAAATCCTGAATTTGAGAGAAAGACAAGGGAATAGAAATGGAGAATAATGTTTTTGGGACAAAACTCCTAAAACCCTACAACGGAAATTGGGGTTGGGTTTTAGAGATAAGGTAGAAAGAGGCCAGTGAGGGGCTTTAAAACCCGTCCGGTTTTACTATGCATCCGTCCGACAATTAGTTCGTGGGTTCGAACTTCACTGACTCCTCTGTTATAAACTCTCTTTTAAACTTTGAAATAGTGACAAAAAAAGAAAAAACATATATGGATAAATATCCTTTAACTTAATTTCTTTCAATTATTTTAAATTATTATTTTGATTATTAATAAAGTCATTTCGTCTACTTCACCCGTTAGAACAAATAAAAACACAAAACATGAGTGTGAAATGGATGAAAAGATTTCACTGATACGAAATTAATAGTTGAAAATTTGAATTGAGACAATTGAAAGTTTATAGACTATTTTAAAATAAGGAGCAAAGTTGATGGACTAGTTACGATATTTACCCTCTAAATAATTTGATATTATATTTTGGTCCCTTAGATTACGGGAACTATTATGTTTTTAAAATTGTACCTTCAATTATGCTTACGAGGTTTACATTGTCCAATAATTGACGTCCATTAAAAATTTGGAGAAAAATAGTTTCATTTTACCCTTCAAATGGTGAATTGTACAATTTTATTTTATTTATCACGATATGTAGACGTTTTTTGTTCAAAATATAAAAAAAGTATGCATTTAATATAAAACCAATTCAAATAATTGAGGAGGCAATGCGAGAAATTTAATAATTCAACTGATAAAGTGAGATGAAATTCGGAGCAAAGTATGAGGAATCTCACTGCACACACTGAAAAATTTAAAATTTTTCACTTTGTAACTCAAAGATCTGATTTTTTACATTGCATCCTTAGTGTATTAAAAAATTTATAATTTAGCCCTTTCGTTGCTCTTTCCATCAACATCAATGCGGAGGATTTTGACAAAATAAGCAATAAAAAGACTATATTGTAACACTTTTAATACATGGAAGGTACAATGTTAAATATTTAATCTTTAAAAGTGTAAAATATAATTGTTTAAATCTTTCAATATGCAAAGTACAATTCACCTAAAAATATAATTAACCCTTCCTCAATTCGCGCATGTATTTTCTTTAATCAACTCGTGTATAATTTAATTCCCATTGATTGAGAAGCAAGTTCGACAAATCAACTCAATTATTACCCATACCAAACCCCACATAAAATAAGTTTTGTGCCGATTTCATGTTAGATTCACGCACAAGTCGTATTAAAGATTACTAGAACTACTAAAACTTAATGAGATGCTCAGCTTGATAGACTGGCTATTCCTAGTGATTTCATTGTAACAAACCACCCCACTGCATTACCAACAATCTTACCCTAATGTTTCCAGTTCTCAAACCTATAGTTTCTAACCCTGCACAACATCATTCAATACTACAGGACCAACCAATATATTATTTGCATCTTTTCTTTGAAATAATAATAACTTCATGCATTTATTTCCCCACCCATGAACTATCATTATCTTTAAATTAAGACTATTTATTATGCTATCATTCTGATATTTGTAATTAAGATAAGATCTAAATCCCCTCTGGTATATTTTTCATTTCTACAATTTCCCTCGATCACATATCAGTCACCGCGAACCAATATGGACCCACTACATATAATGATAAAAGTGGATACCACATCAATACACGGAAAACTATGAAAATTGAGAAAAAAATATATACATACTATGGTTAGAACCTGGATTAGGACATGGCTTTTTCTTTTTCGTGAGCTGAACTGAACTGAACTCATCCATTGAGGAAAACCGCCTGCTTCCCTTGACTCACTAGACTGCAAAGCTGGACCTCCCTACTTACTGGCATGATTGCATTGACTTACTTGATTGCCCCTTTTTAGTTACAGAAACCTTGGGCAAAGAGCTTTTCTAAGTTGTCACATCAAACAACAGCAAAATCACATTTCAAAAGGCGAAAAATCGAAGATTACAGATCAAAGATTCAAAAACTGAATTCACATAACAACGATCGAAGATCCAACCCCCAATTTGAAGTCTTGAGACCATTTAATGAATTTGAAGAGAAAATTTTGATGTAAACTATATCTTTCAACCGCAGCTTAATGTAACTCTCCGGAAATGTTGGGATAGATCTAAGCGTCAACAATCTCTGACTTGAGAGTAAGTGTCAGCCTGGCAAAAGGGTAAGTCTGAAGTGGTGGTTTAGCTAAAGAGAGAACATGCGACACTGTAGTTGCTTAATCTAAACAATCTGTAGTAAATGTGATGGTCATCAATGTTTATACATAAACTAAAGGGAGACTTAGAATTACAATCTCACGGTATATCTAAAATCTTAAGCAACACCTCCTCTTCAAGTTAGAACAAAAATGGTATAAACTACTAATCTGGCACCCCCTATTACATCAATATACCCATCTGTGTATAAGCAACACATATAAGATTCAGGGGAATGCATGCCGCAAGTTAAAGAAAACTTGGAGGTATATAGATCTCTCACAGGAAAACAGGAGCCATGACGAGCGTTATAGTTGCAAGCATTTTGATTAGAACATGGAGAGAAGGTCCTGCTGTGTCTTTGAATGGGTCTCCTACACTGCGTATAATTTTTAAGAATCAGAAATAATAGTAAAATAAAATAAAAATATTGACATGTGAAATACTTCAGGTTCTTAGAAAGATCATTAGAAAAGAAAACAAGCCCACACAAGATTATAATTTATTCAATCTTATAGCCGACAAAACAGTCATATAAAGGCTTAAACACCAATGCCAGTAGTCATGCGTGCTTTTGTGTGTGCTATGTGCGCATTTGTTTTTGTGCCTGTGTTCTTTGCCTTTTCTTTCAGAGAGATTTTTAGATTTCTTCATAGATATTTTCTTAAAACCGATGAACTGCTGCTACTGCAAATAATGGAGTTATCTTATTGCAACCAGGAAGACTTACGTGTCACCGGTAATTGCTGCTTTGTGACAGTCACTCCCTTTGCCTCCAAGAGCCCCTGTCTCTATGTACTTCTTCGCATTATCCCAAGCACCACCAGCGGTGTTCAGGAAAAGAGCCATAAGAATACCAGAGACAGTTGCAAACATCAACATGGCAGCCACAACTTTAGCCCCAAGTAGAGGATGCCCCACGTAGTATCCCAAAATCCGGAACACAATACCTGTACAGTGATTTAAGCAGACTTCACTATATGGCAATATGCATTGAAAAACAAAACACAGGAAGCTAAGGCTAAATCAGCATAACAACCACAGCCATCTCCAATACAGGGGCTATTGCTTAGCACAGTGGTAAAAGTTTCAGCCTAACTACCGTGAGGTTTGTAGGTTCAAATATGAGGGCCGCCACTTTATGCAAAGAATGCCATATTTAGATTTCTACTCAGCCCATTTCTCTAAGCACCTGCTGTTAAAGGGACCTAACTAGGAAATGACCCCTGATAATGCTCCAACATAAGGTGCAAAAATTTGCAGATAACAGTTCAGATCAGATGTAAAATTAGACTCCTAGGACTAGGAGTCTTCCGGCCAACAAGTTCTCTTCGGTCTACCAGAACGTTCAATAGAAAAATTATTGCAAGTGTAATCTAGGAAACTTGTCCAAGAATATTGTGGCTTGACAACAACATAAAATTTATGGCAGAGTATTTCAGAAAATCAGTATCTATCAAGAATCATGCTTAAGTTATCAGAACATTCCTCAGTAATAGTGCTCGGCTAGAACAACTTGATTTTGACAAGAAATAAGAACGTCATAGAAAGATGTGTAAAACACACTACAGCTGTTGTCAGGCTGGTACTCTGACACTTTTCACATAGACACTGTCTATCATTGACAGCAGTCTGACTTTGCAGCATGGCTTCAACCACACGAGTCCATGACCAGAAAGCAGTACTCCCAAAAACCAAATGACACAGCATTAGTCAGAACTAGAGCCCAATAAGCTTTTATGACTCTGAACAAATATCATCCTCATATTCAATGCATAACTACATATCATCAATGCTAACATCAAGCATCAAGCACATTGGCTTTCTCATTTTCCACATCACAAGGCACATTCTACAACCCAATTGAGCAATAATTAAAATAAAACGCCACAGAAAAAGCATAGAATAGATAACCCACCAACTACTATAGGTGATATGATAGCCAAAGCTCCAGGTTTTATCATCTCCCTCAAAGATGCAGAAGCAACAATGGCTACACAGCGACCATAATCTGGTTTTTCCTTGTAGTCCTGTGGAGATTATGATGAACAAGGTCGGTCAGACATTATCAGAACCCAGTTTTATACTTTAACAAAGGAGCAACTGAGTGAATAATACCTACCATGATACCAGGTCTCTCAATAAACTGTCTTCTTACTTCCTTAACCACCTCTTGAGCAGTTCGACCAACTGCAGCACAGGCCCATGCACTAAATAGGTATATTAGCATAGAGCCCAACAATCCACCTACAAATACTTCAGGAATGGCAATGTCAACCTGTACATCATTGCAGTTCAAACTAAGATACAGAATGCAAATGCATAACAATAGTGAGGATAAAACCAAAGTGGAAGGATAGTACATGCCTACCTGGTGAAATGGCGCTTGAGCAAATGCAGCTACCTCATCCATATAAGCACTGAACAGAAGGAAAGATGCAAGTGCAGCAGATCCGATGGCAAATCCTTTAGTGGTAGCTTTTGTTGTATTCCCAACAGCATCAAGAACATCAGTAATCTCCCGAACACTTTCAGGCTGTAAGCATCATATGTTAATCACAAGACTCATTAGTAAAGAAACTAAAAAAAAAATTCTCCCTCTTTGATTAGCCCAAAATTTTTCTACAATCTGCAGCATTACCTGCTGACTCATCTCAACAATTCCACCGGCATTATCAGCTATTGGACCAAACATATCCATGGTGAGAACATAAGCTGCAGTGCTAAGCATTCCCATGGTAGCTACAGCTGTGCCAAACAACCCACCAGTTGGATTTCCAGTTTCATCAACCAATCCTGAAGTATTACCCAGCCAGAAAGCTGAAACAATAGCTATGCTTATGACAAGGACAGGAAGAGCAGTGGACTCCAGACCCAAACTGATGCCAGCAATAATGTTAGTCCCATGTCCTGTGGAGCTAGAAAGAGCTAATGTGCGTACAGGCTCGTGTTTGTAGTCGGTGTAGTACTTGGTGATCCAGACGAAAGCATACGCTGTCATGATTCCAACCAAACCACATAAAGCGAAGTTCAACCAGGCAGAAGGCGCTTGTTCGGTGTATAGCATCCATCGCGTAGACTGCCAAGGTTAAAGGCAAAGAACCAAGAAAACAGGTAAGAAATTTTTTTTCAATAAGAAGCGTCAATATTCTTTATAATAAAAATAAAAAAGTGTTACAAGAACCAAATAAGATGGACAAATCGTCCACCCCTAACGATTGTAAAGACCAGAACAAGAAACATAATCAATAGTAGTAATGGCAGATTACAGCCCACACAATGCTGTCCAACTTGCCGTGATACTAAACAGGGGTACATCTTCAAACTCCTTAGTCACGGATGCCCAAAAAGAGGCCAAGAAAAAAAGTCGACTCCAAAACCCATCAACTTCCTCCGTTTATCTTAAAAAATCTTTGCATTTCTCTCTATCCATAAAACCCAAATAGTGGCAAAAACGGCACAATGCCAAAGAGTTTTCTTTTTTTTGCTTCCTCCCAAACCTCGAAAATCCAAATAAAACATAGATGACATAGAAAACTCATCTTTTAATATATGAGAGAGAGAGAGAGAGAGAGGGAGAGGGTAAGGGAGAGAGATACTGATACATTACAACTGCAATCAGCAATAGAAGATAACATTACCACACCAAATGTCACAACAGCTAGAAATATTGTAACAGAATATCCTTTCTGAAGAATCGTCATTGGATCTTCCATAGCAGCAATTTACCGGTGTCGCGTGTGCCCCGTATTGAAATTATTCCAATGGATGATATCACCAGGTCAAATGAGTGAACAACAAGAGGAAACAAAATGAATCCGGATGGATCTGCATAAAAGAAATCAATATCAAAAGGCATGAATTGAAGGAATTGTGAATATGTATGTGAAACATCATATAATGCAAGGCTGCCTCAAACATTAGGAGCCAGTTGAGTTCAACACAATCTCACAGCAAAGGAGATCAACAAATTAATATCACAAACCGTCATTCCCAATAAAACCAAATTATATTTTGTTTCTTTAGTTAGCCACCAGAGTCAGGGTTTTTTCCTTGGGGGTGCATCATGTATGTATTTCTTTGCTTAAGAGATTCCTGAGACATGGTAAACTAGACCTAGTGCATAAACCAAAGTAAAACCACATGTCGGGAAAATCAAATAGAGATTACTTTTATGGGTTTGTGTTGGGTACTAGTCCACCTGAACCCAACCCATTTAATTAATTATGTCGTGGCGATCCGACCTATTTATTTTCGTGTCGTGTTCATATTAACCCATATAAACCGTGAATCAAAAATTTAACACTAAGATTTAAGTCTAATACTACATTATCTCTAAATCGAACTCACTCATATTTTTTTTTACGAACTAAAAAATAACTTAATAAATATAATAATATAAATAAGTAAAAAATCCTCTTTATGTATAAGGATTATGTCAATGCTTGAGAAAAAATAATAAAAATTTGGCATTTTATTTCTATAATACTAGTTAAATGTGTTAATCGTGTCAATTTCATGTTATTCATGATTGACACTAACTCGACCCATTTATTATTCGTATTAACAGGTTGTGTAATTTACAGATTTGTGTCAAGAAATGGTCAACTCTAACCCGTTAATTTCGTATTGGTTTCCGGTCATGTCAGAAATTGACAACCTGAGGGAAAGGGAATTGCACAAAGTGGTTATCAATCAGTTAAGTAATATGAGAATACAGAATTCTAAATGTAATTCCATACAGGCAAGACAAGGTATGCTCATGGTAATTAACACATCAAAGAGGTACATGTATTGCACATTCTATCGATGCAGGTGTTTAAGAGGGTACATGATCAACCAAGAGGTCATTGGTTCCATAATAGTATTGTTTAACAGATAACCACTGAAACACGAGACAGACATAGATAGTTATTTATCTGCCAAAGGAAACAGTTGCTTGCCTTCGATTTTGCAACGCTGAGCCATTGTTCCTCCAAGTATCATAGCACTGATAATTTCTGCTGCAATACTTTCAAACAAATCAGCACCTCTAGCTGCACAATCACCCACATTGTCTCCAACCTTCAACATATCAACATATTATATAAGCTTCCCAATAGAAATCTACATCAGCAATTATACGAAATAAAAACAAGTAATTACTGAAATTCTTGTAAGTGAAATCTTTAATATTGTTAGAGCATCCAATCCAAAACGAATTGGCAATAGGTGGAGTGGCCCCTCAAGTATATAAATCAACCGTGGTGATCCTAATTATTTGATATGGAATACAAGCTCTCTTAGCATCATCTCTCACATGGGATCCAAGCTTGCACGTGGGGCCAATAAACATACATACTGAAAAATTCAAATGGGACAGGAGACTTGACCCACTGACCACCTAAGACCCATCTCTGATACCATATAAGAGCATCCAAACCAAAACCAATTGGTAATAGTTGTAGTGGCCCCTAAAGTATATAAACCAACCTTGGTGGTCCAAATTATTCGATGTGGAATACAAGCTCTCTTAAAATTATAGCCAAGTAAAAATATTTGCAATCTGGATGAGTTCAACTCTGTAGAACTGCATTCTGGCCTTCCATGTCAACTAATATCTCATCTCTAAAAAAAAATATGTATCGCGTTCGCGTAAACTTCAAGGACATGAGAATGTAGCTTAATCGCAGTATAGCATGATGTAGATTCCAAAGAAGACTTCAAAAAAATAAAGAAAATTTCCTTAGAAACTTCCAATAGATAAAATTCATGATGGCAAGACTTACTCTCTGAACCCTTTCAAATTAAAATAAACACAGCTTTTTGTCATCAAACTTCCTTGATTATGCTCTTTAAACATCAACCTAAAATTGCAAGGAGCTGCATCCAACATCTTTCTTATCTTACATTTAGTTTAGATGATTGATGTAGAAGACAAAACAAACAGATCCCTTTAATGAGAGGCAAAGGAAGCATTCGTGTGAGAGCAAGCAAAAACACTACAGTCATTGAACTTCGCAGAGTACCAAGAAGCTTATTGTCAAGTTAATCCTCCTTGATCATATGGACAAGTGTGACTAGTGTTGTCTAAATCTTTAATGAATGATGACATGCTCAAAAACATATTTATGTGCATATGATGCAATAAAAGTACTTTACAATCAAAACCAAAATAAAAAAAATTTAGCTGCCACTTAAAATATTGAGTAATACTTGTATGGCTCAACGAGGTTAGTTTTGAACTGACAGAGCTGACAAAAATAAGTGACAAACTAAAAACCTTCAAGCACATGCATTATAGAAAAAAATAGGGATGAAGGGTAGATACCAGATCCGCAATGACAGCAGGATTACGAGGATCATCTTCAGGTATCCCCTGCTCCACTTTGCCAACAAGGTCAGCTCCAACGTCAGCTGCTTTTGTGTAAATTCCACCACCCAACTGAGCAAAAAGGGCAACAAATGAAGCTCCAAAACCATATCCCACCAGAAGAAGAGGCACTGCAAGAAAATTATGTAGAAGTCAAGCAACAGACCGAAACAAGAGGAATTTTCTGAAACTACTTTACAAGAAGCATATAATTGAAGAAAATGTTGGCCACATAAGACAGGTATACAGAAAAAATAAAAGTTTTCTTATTATTAGATACATACATGATTGCATGCTTGCATACATCCACAAATAACAACTAAGCATGTTAAACCTATAAAATGGCATTCACACTACAGGATAAAATCCACATATGCAAAGAAATAGAGTCCTTACATACATCTAGTAAGTAATGAGAAATAACTTCTCTCGTATTCATTCTTTTTTGAAAAAAATAATCTATTATACTTTATGAACAAAAATATGATCAAAAGGAATCCACAAAAATGAATTAGTCAAAAAAGTACCAAAGCATGACCACCTGATAGGCTGATACCAACAATTGCAGTCAACTGTGGATGGTACAACAAATTTAAAGAAGTTTGATAAAAAAGGAACTGATTTAGAAACTCAAGGCTAGGGCAGTAGATATTAAGACTGATAGATTGTATGTTGGCCTAGGATTGGTGACTAGGCATGAAACAAGTCAATAGCAGTTGTCAGCACATGATATCAGCAGAATAGCAGTAAACTTATTCAACTAACATGTCACCATATTCCTTCAAATTTCTGTGAACAGTGTTGACAAGTTATTCTACGAACACCGGATGAAAATATTAAACGTCAAAAAATAAATTTTCTGTTCATTGTGTATAATCGATCAGTTTCAAGGAAACCACTGTCACTATTGAGAACAGCATTTACTTCTATTTATTATGAACAAGTTAAGCAGTCCTACGAAATTGAAGTATGCGTCATTCATCTTCATGATTACCATAATCTTTGCACTAGAAATTTCCTAATGTGAATGCTTACAAGTCCATCTGTTTTAATGGCTACTGAAGAACAAACAGAGTTCGGCTTAGCTTTTAGCCAACAAAGAAGGTGACACTCACAATCAGTAACCTTCATTGAACCAGGTGAATCCACCCCCAGCCAAACATAAAATGTGGAGTATAGGATGGCGACACCAATTACAGCCATACCAACAACTACTATTGCAGAGAAACCACCAGCCCGAACAGCTATCTGTACATTGCATCCACAAAGTAAGGTAAACATGTAAAAGCTTTTCCACTTAAAGGAAACCTAAAAAAGAAGAAAACCTGCAATGCCTCTCTGGCTGATCGTCTTGCAGCACTTGAAACTCGAACATTAGCACGTACTGACACCCACATCCCAACATAACCAGCAATACCAGAACATAGAGCCCCTAGGAGAAAAGCGGCAACAGTAATATATGCAGATGTTGACCTGAATTAGCAGCAGGCGAAAGGTATTAACTCTATCAGCAGGAACCTTGAGATAAATTAAAGGCTATGCAACTAACACTGGAAATCTGTCATCACCTCCCTAAGCCAGAAGATTCTTGTTGGGGAGTTGTACTACGAAATAGATATATGACAAGGATCACAAATGCGAGTAAGAATGCCATCCTAGAGATAGACCCGTACTGTGTCCTAAAGAAACCTTCAGCTCCATCACGTATAGCATCTGATATCTGACAAGTAAAATGATAAGCTCAGGAGTCGGGACAAGTGAATGAAGACCTTCTAATTCATAAGTAAAGATGTCAAAGCAATGCATGAGCTCAAAATTGGCTTAACTACCAATATCACCAAATAAACACATAAATTTAACATGATGGTTGTTAACTACTAAATACTTGTATCTCAAATCAGCAAAATAATCAAAAGGCTTTTTAAGCTTTTAAACAATGCAGTTGAATGTAAATTCAGATTAATTTTGATACTCCTGCCATAAAACTTCTCTATCACTTAATTCCAAGGGAAAAATCATGTTATTCAGATCACCAAGCAGAAAACCTCTGACAACAACACCCCCCCCCCCCTTTTCGAAAAAAAAAAATCCACATGGCCTATAAAACCATAAGACAAGACAAACATGAAAAAAGTCTAAAAGAACTCAAGCTCTACTCCCAAATGCTTGGTTGAGTTGGCTCAATTCATATTTGTGTTTGTGTGTGTGTGAGAGAGAGAGTCCTTGGCTCATTTAGATGAATCCCTGTTTTCCACACAACTCTATCGAGTACCGCAAACGCCTCATAAAGCATAATAAACTAAATTCACCATAGGAACACGGGTAATGCTAAGGGTAATGCGATATACATGACATCACATAATATAAACAAAGAAAGACCGGCAATTCATTAACCAAAAACCATAAGAGCTTAAGTCATGAGCCCTCAAAATATAATCAACACGACCAGATAACATAAAGATCCTTTGGATGCCCCACAATTTATTTATAAATAGTAAAATAACAACTACAGAGAAAACTAATTGGAAAACCATACAGAGGGACCTACACTATTAGAAACAATTGTACCTCAACCATCTCGGGAGGTCCCTCATCCTTCTTAAGTACCCACTTGGTGAGATATATTGAGAAGAGAAAGCTGATGATGCAAACAGAAAACACAAATACAATGACAGGAGAGGTACTAGCTCCAATGTAAAAAATAGCACCAAAGCCCAAGAGTAGAAGCACGAAAATAACTCGAACATTTAATCTCATGAATATACGAAAGACCTGCACAAGAAACCAAAAAATATTAATGCACACACAAAAATACGAAGGGAGGGGGCGGAGAACTAACAGAGAGAAGATAAGGAAAATGCACATTTTAGCGAACAAGCATACCAAAATAAGAAAAGAAAGCAATTTAAAAAAATTCTTCTTTTTCTTTTTATAGTAGACCTAAGTGGTCATATTGGATCCTTTGGAACAATCACAAGTGCGGCCGGCCTATATTTGAAAGATAATGTCATGTCCTCCAGCAAAGCCTAGAAAAAGGTGACTCACGCAGACAGTTGCCTCCTTTTCAATACAAAAGAATAGCCAAACCAAGCCAACTGGTTGTTCGAAAGTCAATTTGTGGAAGCCCTTAATTAAAACTAAAAAATTATGAATCATTGACATGTTATTTTGTCCTATGTACCGGTGTCTGTGATAAAAATCGAAAAGGGATTAGATGATCTTAAATTTAAGAATTGAATTTTATTATTTGTTTTAGTATTATTTTATTAGTTAGAGAATATTTGTTTGACTAGGAATATTAATTAGAGTTTAATTAGGAAATTATTATAGAGTTTTAGTAGGATAGTGATTTGAGAGTTTGATCATGAAACTCTTTTAGTATTTTAATAGAAAAGTAGTTTTTATTTTAGTAGAGAACTTGATCTATAAATAATAGTGTAATTCCAATGATTTGGGAAGACAGATTATGAATAAGAATTGAATATTCTCTACGGAGATTTGTGTGTTTCTTTACCGATTCCTTGCGAGGATGAGGTAAACCCCTTTTACCCCCTCTTCTTTCTTCTTCTCTTTCTATTCTGTGATTTCTAGTCCTTCTCGATCTACGTCAGTCTGACATGGGGACACGAACACATTCAGACACGTCCAGATACGTGTCGAATATGCAAAAATATGTTTTCAATTTTTTTTAATATTTCTGAATTTTGGACAAGTCCGAACACGTTTCAAACAAATCTAGACACGTTGGGAGCAATTTGATGTCAATTTTAAAAGGAATCTTTTGCGGAAAGTACACACCATTGCTGGTTGTTTGCAAACTCCGGCAAAGCAAAGGCACGTCACATATATATAATAGAGGAAAGAAGCAGTGGCATAGATGCAGCACTGCTTGGTATGAAGAAGACCTAGATCGCAAACACCATGGCCCATGTGTTTGGGAACTGCCCAGAAGATTTCTTTGTGAAGGGAGTGAAGCATATTTGTTCCGCTGTACATTGGAGAATTTACAGAGAGAAATGGGCAAAGAGAGACATAAAGTTGTATAGGGATAGGCCTGTAGAGAGAGAGAGAGAGAGAGAGAGAGAGAGAGTTTGCATTGTTTGATGTTTGTTTTAATATCAAGAAACTTCCCAGCTTTCTAAAAAAATATAATGTCCTTATCTTTTACTGGACAAATTGTCCTTATTGATCAGAGCTTTGCTAGTGGGCTAGCTTGAGCCACTTCAAACTCCTCTGTTGGGTAATTTATTTAGCCCAATGGACTTTATGGAATGGATTGGGTTTATATAAAGCATGGGATTCTCTGTTTATGTGTTATATATACAATTATAATATATATTCTAGGACAAATTTACAAACTCCTGATCATATTAAAATATTAACACTTTTTATAGAGCATGTCCTGATGTGTCCGAGTCCTACTTTTTTAGGAAAATATCGTGTTTGGTCTATGTGTCCGTATCGTGTTGTATTCGTGTCCCGTGTTCTTCTTACTTGAAAATAACAAATTTTGTGATAGCGAAGTGAACAAAATTGTGTCAAAACTAATGTAATCAACCCCTCACTCAATGAAAACACAACTCTTCCGTATATGATAGTTTTTCCCATATTATGAGGGGGAGTACTGGGACAACTCCAAGTCATCAAAATGTCAATAATGTTATGTATGTATTGATTAAGACAGAAAAAGAATTCCATGACGATTTCAGGAAACCGTTGTCCTACTAGGGTTGGCTATCATATCACGTTTTCCGATTCACTGTGTCTAAGGCCACAATTTCAGTTATGAACTGCTACAGCTTCCTTTTTCATCTCAACCTTTTTTTCCCTTTCAGATAGACTACCTTCTCAAGTTAAATGAATTTCCCTCTCCCTGTACCCCTAGCAACCTCCCCAGTGGGAAACATTACTTTCATCCCTGGTATTATTAATAGTCTTTGTTGGGCCACAGTTTTGTCACTCACTGAGCATAAACTTAAAAAAATAAAAACCAGTTCACTGGGGGCAAATAAATAAAACTAATTCATTCTAGATATATATCATTCTCCACTATTATTGGATCTGCCATTCAAAGAGTAACATCTTAAACCTTTTGTTTTTTCATTTTTTTCATCAACACATTCTCATATTTTTCTCTGAGTTTCTCCATTTGACACAATCGAATATCAATACACCACACAACTGTCCCACATTGAACAGTAACAACACCGATCATAGCTGCATCCACAAATACACTGATACAATCTGCTATCCGTTTCTCTGTTTGACGATATCAATACACCACACATCTGTCCCACAGTGAACAGTAACAACACCGATCATAGCTGCATCCACAAGTACACTTACACAACTTGCTATCCACCATTTCTTGCAATAAGCAATATGATAAGTAGCGAAACAAAATACTTTTAAGTCATCAATTTTGGCCGAACCGACCTATAGTGCCGCAATATGTTTCCACTATCATGCTTAGGTTAGACATTGTTGATCAAGGAAGTAGGATAGTGCCACAAAAGAAATTTGTTATGGTCATCAATGCCACAAAAGAAAGAACAGTCTTAAGTTGTTCCATCAAGAAGCAAATTACATGCATCAAAGGCAATAAAGTAATGACACATGATAAATGGTGCAACTGATAAAAAATATGTGGCAAAAGCTGAGATATTAGATGTAAATATGGTCCTTACCAATGGTGTGTAAGGTTTAGTGCGCATGTTGGGGAATGTCCTTGGCCTGTCCTGGTAAGGCCCCAAATTACCACCCTCCATGTCGTCATCCATCGGAACAGCTTGGAAGGAATTCACCCTCCGAGCTACAGGGAAAGGGCTGTACTCGCCACTCTGGGGCAAGTCAAACCCTGAACCTGATCTCTCAATTTTGAATTTTCTTAGTGGGTCAACAAAGATTAAGATCTAAGCTCATGCAGGTGAAGCAGCCAGTCAATCTTTTTCTCTCCAGTAATATCTACAATATGGTATACCTTTGGTTTCACTTTGAACAGCTCATAAGCTAGTAGAATCCCCTTCGTATTCCTCAACAAAACTCATCTACTCTGGAAAACAGATCAAAAAACAATCAATACCACATAAATTTGATACACTTATAAAGCATTAGAGGTACTACAATCTACTATTAGCAGAAAGCACAAAACCTCATACTAGCAAATTCACCACATCCCTATAAAAAGTGATAATAAAACAAACTTCCCAATTCTGAAAGCTCAGATTCCAGGCAACTAGGTTTTACAAATTGAGTCCATGTTACAACAGTGTATAGGAACCAAAGGTTTTACCAGGTTGGAGTATGATCAACCCAAAATATATAACAGAAAAAGGGATGAAATGAGCACAACTTCTTCGGCTTGACTTATGTAAGGAAGCATGCCACAACTCACTAACGACTAATGGAAACTATGTTTTTGACAGCAATTGTCATTAGATAGAACACATAGAGAGAGATATATGTATGTGTTTGTAGATTATTACAGAATGTAGGCAGTAAAATATCACATTTCTTTCCTAGTTAAGGCTTGCAATGGCAGATTTGCTGAGAGTACAGACAGAAACCTTCGGCTAAAATAAAACACACACAATGAATTGCGATAACAGCTATAAGTGAGATCATCTTAAAAATCCACATATCTACAAGAGAGCGAAACCAAAAGATCCCGATAAACCCTAGATTCAATGCCACATGCGTTGCCCATACGCAGAAAATCAACGATTCGCAGGAACAACAACATCCCACGCTGATCGCAATCATAGGCGACCATAGATAGTTCCCAGGCAAAGATCTATGAGTATATTAAACAAAAAACCCTAAAAAACTTACTCATCCCGTCGGCCCAGATTGACAAACGAAGAAGACTCCGAATAGAATTCAACGTTTGTTGCAATTACCGTCCAAATGTGTGTGTGAGAGAGAGAGAGAGCAAAGCGATTACCTAATCGCCATTAACGAAGGCTTGTTTGGCCTTCAACATCTGTCCGTCAATCAAAAGTGGTCCGCAGGCTTCTCACCTTTCGGAATTGAGAGAGAAAGAGACTTTTGGGAGAGACAGTGAGAAAGACGAATTTTCTTTTTTGTTTGTTTGTTTATACGTAGTAGGACTTGCAAATTTGTAGTCAGCATCTAAACTTACATTTGCATCACCATCCATGGCGTAGGGATTTTTCTTCTTTTCTTTTCTTTTTTTTTTTATTTTTTTTGGGTAAATTACACTTTATACCTAGAAAGATTGTCAAATTTTTATTTTATATATTTAAAAATTAAATTTCTCATATTATACTCTTAATGTATTAAAAGTATTACAAATTGACATTTTGAAAAATACTAAGTAATCTAAATTTTCATCCCAAATGAAACGAGTCATTAGATGAGTAGGTCTCATTAATTTTTTTAAATGGGACTCACTGAGCTTTTGACACAAAAAATAACATAAATTAATAAAAAGATCATATTATAATATTTTTGATACATTAAAAGTACAATATGATAAATTTAATCTTTAAAGGTATAAAATAAAAATTTTAAAATTTTTCATGATACAATATATGAAAAACCCTTTATTTATTTATTTGTTTCGATCTCAATCACTCATTCCCATTGAATTAACAGGTCCTAGTATTTAATAGAATTCACAACTAATCTAATAATTGTAATAAATTAAACAGTAAATTATGTTAATGAATTATATTCAAAAAATATTGTTATATTTCAAATTTCTTTTGTGTATACACTTGGAGCAATCCTTAATTTGTTGACTTATTTATTGAACTAATATATTATAATTATTAAATTAATGGTGGATCCGAATCAATAATAGTGTCCACTGTTAATTCAATAGTAAAAAGTGATTAGGTCAGTAAATGAAATGAAATGAATTGATTAAATATGCATAATATTTAAATGTGTGACGGATATTATTTTATATATAGTGGAGTGATTACTCGAGGGAGTGGGATTCAATTTTGCTTAATTTGTTACACATGCGCGACCTGTCACAATGTGCTCTCAGGAGACATGTCACCGACTCCAATTACATCGTGCCACGTCACTCATTCCTCTTCAATTCTGTCGGCCATTCCTATTAAGTTTGCCAAATCATTTTTAAGTTTTAAGGCATGGATTTGATTTGTTTCACTTTCAATAGGTTGCATCGCATCTTTACGAAATTTTAATTTTATTTTCAAACAATATTTATTCTAAAATTAACAGCTCAAAACTTATCCGTAAAGTAATTTTAGATGATGTATAATTCTTTTTCTCATTTAAGTATAAGGCTGATAATAAATTCGAGTTATACGGGCTCGTCTCGAATAAAACTCAGTTCAAACTCAACTCGTGTTTTAAACGAGTCAAGCTCCAATAATTTTTTAAATGAGTCAAAAAAATGAGCCTAAAAAAATTATACTCGAGTTTACAAAATTCAACTTATTTTTATGTGAAATAGTCAAATTACTCAGGTTTGTCTTGGTTTGAGCTCGAACAATTTTTTAAGTTTAATTAGAAAAACGAGTTTAACAGACTAGGCTCGATTACCAACATTATTTGAGTATTTTCAAAAAATTGAACTTTTACAAATTTAATTTGTGGTTAATTATATAGATTCTAAATGATTTTTAATTACAAATTTAATACTTTTTAGTATTAAAGTTATGTGGATAATCTTTGAAATTTTTTGCTAAAAAATTAAATCAATTTCAACTCGAGTTCCTATTAAATGTTCACAAACTTTTATCGAATTAAACTTGAACAAGGGTCTGAACAAAATAAATTAAAAAACAAATCTGCATAATCAAACTCAATAAAACTTCACTCAATTAGGACCCTATTGCTAGGCATGATGACCTTGAAATCCCCTACAGTCCCTTATAATTGTAAGGAACACTATTGTTTCTCATTTATATGTTTATAATTTAGCCATAAAAGCTGAAGTTATACTCTGCTCGGAATCGGTCGACTAGTGAAACATTCATTCTCTCCTCTCAGTTTCGCAACAGATTCAGTAAGTTACGTGTTCGTTGCACGGAGAACTGTCTTCAATCTCGAGCTCATTGAGTCAGGTTTTTTATTTACCCACAACAGAGGCGACCACGAGTTATAACACTCTTTGTACAACAAATCACTTCTCTAGTGAAAAATCTAATCAAGAATCTAAATCTTTTACAACACATACACTTCTGGTCAAACACAATTAAAGGTTTTAATCTCAGTAATAAATGTGAATGGGTTAAGAGATTAGTCTAAGGAACCTTCTTCTCACTTTTTCGAAAAAATCTAGAGGATGAACACATAATTTTTAATGTGACAAAAATCTTTTTTTTTTTACAAAAAAATTTGAAAAATGAGCTTATATAATTTGAATTAATCCATAACCAGTGACACTAACAAAAAAAAACACAACGAAACGATTGGCCAAAAAACCAACATGAAATGAAGAGAAACCTTCCCCTTTTCTAAATACAAATGATCATGTATCTTCTCTATTATACATTCAACAAGATTACTTTTGCATTCATTTAATATTCCAAGGCACAAATTTCACAGGTGAAAGGAGCCCCCAATTCTACCCAAGGCATGTACAGTTCATACAAACAAACTCGGATGATTAAGATGATCAATCACCTGAGACTTCTCTTCTTGTACAATGCAGCCTCTCTTCGAAGATTACTCACCTGCCTTGCTTGAAGCTGTCTTAAGTTCTTTAATCTGTGAGACCTGCCCTTAACATGAACAGACACTTGCTTACTCTTCAACCTCAAGTGGTTATGGTGACGGCCACTATGATTGACATGTCCACCTCTAGAAAAACTAGCTGAGCTTCGTGATCTATTCTTTCTTCCACGCCTCGTTAATTTATTGTTTCTAATCATCCTTAAACTCGTGTCATCACCAAAAGACTCACCTCCTCCACCACTTGAGCTATAACCACCCTCAACATCTCGAAAGTGACGGTGACGGTGGCGACGCCGATTTACCCGCTTGACATTCTTTAGCTTGTGCCATAAAAAACAGGTAATATCTTCCAAGGAGAACCAGTATGTCTCACATGCAGCCCAACACATCTTACAAAGACTCTTTACCATGCATTGGCAGATCCCCAACTTGAACAAGAGGTAGAAGAACAATAAAGCTGGATGCAAAAAAAGAAATAATTATTCTTATTTTTTTTCTCTACTATGACTCCTACAAATAAAAAACTGATTCTTGCTAATTTATATGTATCCTCTGTCTAAAATTAGCAGGAAAATCCTTCCTCATTACTATCTTAACCAGAAATTCCATGATTTTATAGAAATTTAAAATACGGAAGAGAGTTTTTGCTTTGGTTCTTTTTAACTTTTAATAGAAAGGAGGAAAATTTAACTTTCAAAAACAGAACATTTGACTTTTAATATAACAAGTTAAATCATAATTGCAGAGCACAATTTACAGAAAATTCAGCTACCACTACAAAGTAAAAACAAGATTGAGGGAAAAAAAATTACTTATATAGCAAAGCCCCAAAACCATCAACAATTTTGCCAGATTGGAGACACAGAGATGCTCAATGAAACAAGTTACATCCCATGTTCCTGAACAAATTCCCCTGCAGAAGTCATAGTTTACAAAGAGGTTCACAAATAGCAAAATTCATTCAACATAAAAAAAAAATGTAATTTCAGTGGTGGAACGTGATGATCGTAGAAGTGAACAATCAGAACATACTCACAAATGTATTTACTTGTTTTCTTATGAGACTATGTACACTAAAAATAGAAGTCGCACCCCAAAGTCCATTGACGAGACCAGGGGAAGATGGACTTTACTAGCCTTTACATAAACCTTGCCACTTGATTGATTATACAATACAAGATTCCGATAAAGAAGCAGCATAAAATCAATAGGAATCATAGTTTTATAATAAGCTGATTGCAAAGCAAAGAGGGTTTGTATTCTGGTTAGATGAACTTTTAAATTAATGAAACTGAAACAGGATGCCAAAAATGTTGTATATATGCAGATATATACTAATATTTATTAATATTGATAAATTGTATAATTATTTACTTATTGGTGGTTAGAAGGACTCTTGAAGACAAGAGTTAAAACCTTCCAAATAAAGGTGACTATTGGCATCTAAATGAAGAGTTACCACTCTTCTAAAGAGTGTATGGAACACTATCAATATAGGGTTCCTACCCTTCACCATAAAAATGAAGTTAGTTGTTAATTTCCAATTTCTATTATTGTATTTTATTGAGGTTGTTTTACGGAATTTCATTCGGGTTATTTTCTGGTTCCAAGACTACTATTAAATAGACTCAAAGGTTAAGCATTGTATCATAGGAATAGAATTTTCATGAGTCTATCTACATCATAGTAAAAAAATTACTATCTCAAATATAGCGTGTGACTTGTCATGCCTAACGACTTTTTCCGATCTATCTTATTTTTATTATTTTTTCTACTCAGATTTCTTGTATCACCGATTATATACAACACAACAGTCTTTAGGACAAGAAAAAAAAGAAAGAAAGTGAAAGATAAAGAGCTAAAGAAAGAGGAGTTCTTACTCACAAGATCCACCAAAAATAGCTTTGATTGGAGCTGAAAAGGCTTTTCCAAGAAGACCTCCAGCGCCATTTGCTGCCTTACTGATAACATCCCCCATTTCGAATTCTGAAATAGTAATGATTGGTAATAGCCCGTGCCTAAATGCACTTGGCAACCTAAAATACCCCGTCAATTTGAAATACTTTTTCTTTCATTTGCTTTAATTAAAGAAATTGAAATCAATCTAGTCCCCACTATTTTTTTCAAAAAAAATTCGACAGAGTTTTCTTTAAAAATTAGAGTCCAAGCAAATCTCAACATGTCTACAAAACTCATAATCATTTATAACAATCATCATAATGCGTAATAACAATTCAATTTTATTTTTCCCAAAATTAGCATTGTACACCCAACCATCAAAACAACCATCAATTCCCATCAAATCAAGTATATCCTCATAATCATAAGTAATTGGTTCACCTTACTAAACACATGCAAACTGGACACACGCGTGCACAAAGAGAGAAACATCTCTCTTCAACTTAATCTTCTTTAGAATTAAGAGACACAACCAAAGAACACATACCAATAAGATTGCTAACAACAGCCACCACACAATTGTCTGATTGGGATGAGAGACTTTAACATCTTCTAGATGTGGTGTCACCAGAAAATAACCCCAAGCATGCTTTTATGTATTTCTGAAAATTTTTAAATGTAAAAATTATTGAAAAATGTGAGACAAAACAAAACAATTGAAAATCCGAAATATACAACCTCTTGCTTTTCTTGTCAATTAGAATCAACATAATTACTGTCATCAATCTCATTAACCCGAAGTATCCAAAAAAGATAAACTAACGAAGAACACACACATAAGGAGGTTTGCTATTCAACTAATCCAACTAAATTTAGACTGAAAACGTAAATTTAAATCTATAATAATCATAGAGAGATCAAAATTAAAAAAATGGATGACATTAGTCATAGAGAGTTCAAAATTGAGAGATCTAACATTCAGAGAATCAACCACATGACATTAGAGCTAAAAAGTAGGATTAACAATGGATGTTGGCAAGCTAATAACACAATTGACAAAAAAAAAAAGTAACAAACAAAATGGAATTAAATATTGAACTACACTAATGGGTAAAATGGTAATGAAGCAAAAAAAGCTTACAATAATGGATCTATTGGTCGTGCAATGAAAAAAAAAAAAGTACTCAAATATAAATTAGTTTGAAAAAAAAATTCAAAATTCAAGAAACCAATAGTTGTAAAAATCAAACAACCTGCAAGCCATAGAAAATCAGGAAACCAAATCCTTGTTAGTCATTTTTTTCAAACATCTTGGGAGCATGCCCTAAAAAGTTGAGTGTGTGTATGTGTGTACTGGGTGCTGTGTGTGTTGATGTGGTATATGTGTGTGTTGCAGAGAAGAGGATGAGTAGAAAAGTGGTAGAGGATGAGTAGAAAAGTGGTAGAGAGTGAGAGAAATATAATTTACACAATTTTCTATAAAAAAAAGTTAACTAACATTAACCTACAAATTTTATAAAATTAACATGCAATAATCATCAACTAAACATCCCAATTCATGCGTCTAACAAAACTCTACAAACTCTATTCAATCAAATTAACACGAAATCTCAATCAAAACACTACGGACTTTATTTCAATCAAAATAACCCTAACATTCAATTTTAAAACCCTAACGTTTAAAACACTAACATCCAACTTCCAATTTCAAAACACTAACATCCAAAAACTCTATTTCATTAAATTAACACCAAATCTCAATCAAAATAAGTCATTCAATCAAAACACTACGAACCCTATTTCAATCGAGATAAAACTAACATTCAATTTTAAAACCCAATCGTTCAATTGTAAACACAACTTCCATTTTAAAAAAAATTAATCACCAAAACCATATATCATAAAATTAACACCCAATTGAAAATAATAAAGTTAACATCCCATTTCATATGACTAACAAAACAAATTTCATACAAAAAAAAACACAACAAAAAATGAAATTAAAACCCAACATTCAATTTGAAAACCATAACACTCAATTAAAATACAACTAACAACTCTAACATTCAATCAAAATAAACCCTATCATTCAATTTCTTACAAAACTTAACAACCAATTTGAAAATATTACATTCAATTTTCTATAAAACACCCAAATCAACACTCAATTTGGAAAAATTCATAGAAAACATTACAAAAATGTGTGTGTTTGCTGCGTGTATGTATGTGTGAATGTGAACGTGATGTGTGTTCGACTGGTTTGTGTGAGCGGGGGTGTGAAAGAGAGGTGAGAGAGAGAGAGAGAGAGACACCTGGGGTGCTGTAGAAGACAGATCGCGTGGAGCGAAAGAGAGAGAGAGAGGAGTGACTGCGTTGGCCTGGGTTGGGTACTGTGTAGGAGGTTTAAGTTTTGGGGTTGCCATGAATTTTCTATTGAACCAATCACTTAGGGGCTGTTTGTTTATATTTTCTATATAACCAATTTCAATCTATTCTCAGTTTTCATTTTTCATTTTTTTCTCTTTCAATATACGGATATCGTGTGTCCGCGACTACTACTTTTATTAATTTTTCAACCATTTATAATTATTTTTTTCTTTGATTTCACCCAACCTTAACCACGTAATCCTTCAAAACAATCGATACTCTGTGCGCGAATTTACACTTTGAAAGCGATTTTTTCATGAATACATGCTATTATTTTATAAAATTCATGAATTTAGACTCTTACTTGCTTATATGCTTACTCATTATTACTCTAATTTTTATTTGAAAAGTATTGATGCATACATAAAAGATATATCAATATATATTTTGTTATTTCATGACCTTATAATCAATATATATTTAAAAATTAAACAATTTTTTACATAGTTGTGCATGAAATTGAATTTTTTATTTTTTATTTTTATTAACTTTTATGGGTAAGTGTTTGTCTTTATACGTCTATATAATAAAATAGCTTATAATTCAAATTTTAAAAGATAAACTAAATGATTTTTGTTATTCGCGGTTGAGATTGTTTTAAATTTTACTTTAAAGTTAATCTAACAGATAATATTAATACTCTAAATTTAATAGAAAAAATAAGACTTTAAAAGTGTATTTAGAGTGACTTTTTAAATTTTTTTAAAAAAATTATTTATCATAGATACTTAAAAAAAAAGTAGTGTTTCAAACCGCCCCACCCCACCATTACCTTTACCACCACCACCACCACTAACTAACGTCGTCACCATCGCCATCGCCATCGTTATCACTGTCACCCCACCCCCATAACCGTCCCTGTCACTGCATTTGCCATTGCCACTGCTACTGCCACCTCCATTATCGTTGCTGTCATTGCCACCATCACCGTCGCCACGGTCATTACCACCCACCATTTTTATCACCACCATTACCGTTCACCATCTCTCAATTTCATTGCAAAACGATGTTTAAATCATTTTATCTCTTTTCCATATTTTATGATTTGATTTTGAATATGAATACAAATATATTTATTATTTTTCATTTTTTATTACTCTGTATATTCAGGCACAGACAATAACTAGTTATTATATGACGCTTTAAAAACTCTTTTATTCTCAAATATTTTTAAATTTTTGCCCTTCTTTCTCTTGTCTCTACCTAGCCACATGTGCCCAATAAAAAATTAATATTTAATTTAATTTCTTCCAAAATAACCATACAACTCCATTTTTAACCCTATTTAATAACCGTGCGTAGGGCATCTAATCTCTTAATAGTAATTGCTAGTGATAATTAGAGAGCAGTTCTTTTTAAGAAACTGAGTTAAGTTTATTCCTTGAATATATTTGAGAATAAGTTCTATTATTATCTATTTAGTAAGTTGTTAAATCCAATTTTAAAAAATACCAAAATGCCCTAATTCTTAAATATCTGGGCCGAGCGGGTAAGCCCAATAAGAATCTAAGGATTTCAATGTCATTTGTCGATGAGGTCCCAGCAGAAGACATGAAGGGAGAATGATGGGGCTGATTTTGGGGTATGTAATTGGGCTTTTTGACAGAACCAAGGCAACTTATGGTTAAACTGGCCTAAACCCATCAAGCCCCATAAGACTATAAGAAGCGAGAAGTCCAGACTGTAGAGTTAACGAGGGTTTCTAGGGTTTCAGAGCACTGATTGATTGGGAGTAAGCAGGGCAGAATTGAGAAGAGAGAGATGGCGTCGAAGGTGTTGGTGAAAGCAAAAGGAAAGGCAGGAGCAAAGGGATCAAAGGGCGGTTCTGGTGGGGCGAACGAGAGCAACCGTTGGACAAACACATCGAAGTGCGTGAAAGATTGGAGCACCTGGGCGATCAAGAAGGCGAAGGTGGTGACCCACTACGGATTCATCCCATTGGTCATCGTCATTGGCATGAACTCCGAGCCAAAACCCAGCATTTACCAACTTCTCAGCCCCGTTTAATCATGTATACTCCCTAAAAATTGCTTGCATCCTGGCGATCTCTGCGTCTAGGTCTTCAATTATCTGTCGAAACTGCTAGTACTAATTTACTTAAGAATGGTAGTGGGATAGTTTCAATTGTTGTTTTCTTTAGTTGTATTTGATAAATTCTGAATCTGATATCCATATATTTTGGCTTATATATTATGGTGGTTGCAGGTAGCAGTATATGTTTGCTATTATTATTTTATTGGCAACTATCAAACAAACGGGGGATAACAAATGAGGGATTAAATCGAAATTTTAATGTTTTAGAGTGATTTGATATGATTCTGAGTTATTTCGAGATGTTTTTGTTAATATTTCTTGATATTTCAAGGCAGTTCGGTAGATTTGGACCACCTGAACTGATTTTTTTGTTCAATGGTAGGTTCAATGCTTAGCCAAGTCCGCGGATCCTCTGTTGTACAGCATGACAGCGTCATTTTTGGGTATAAAACTGCGTCGTTCATTTTGAGGAACAATACTGCTGTACAACGGAGGATCTGTTTCCACACTTAGCCTTCATCATCGATGGTTTTATCAGCGTCAAATCAAAAGGCTTTAGTAGCCATATCGAGCATCCTACCATTTTGGAGTCTAATAAGGTTAAATGTATACAATTTTATCAACAACTTGAATCCTCCAAGTCTCAACAGAAGTTCAACATGATATCAATTTTGAATTCATTTACTTTTGCCATGTTGTCACTTTTAAGACAATCTAAGTCATTCAAAAAACAGTAGGAGAGGAGAGAGGAAAATTCTCCAAGAACTTAGTTTCAATATATATACAAGGGCTGCCTAATGTACAAGCATGGAGTCCAACACAACCATTCATTTGGGAGGGAAGTCAAGCAATCTTTCAAACACCCTTAAAGTCAGCATCAAACTCCTCATCATTCTTACCCAGCATATCTTTCAAGCTACACTCGAAATTCCTACACTTAAGCTCCCAATATCTGGGCTTTATCTTATTCTCCAACGAGTAGCTGAAGTACCTTGGGTAGTCCACCACATCCATCAATGGCTTTTCCATGGTGTTCACTAGGAATTCTAATTTGGGTCTCAAAACCTCTTCGATGCTGTAGCCTAGTAATGGTGAAAAACAGTGAACCATGAGCGCAACATCTCTTTTTGAAAGGCCAATCTTCATCAAGAATAACATTCTGCCCACACAACCAGTTTTGAGTTACTCCAGAGTAAGTTCAGACTAATCGTAAAAGACTACAAACAGGATATAGTTGAGAAAGATCATTACCGAGGAAGTAAAGTTTTGTTGATGTCACATACAAAAAGCTCTGGATATTTTCTGATGACCCGAGGAAGATGTTCTTCAGAGACACCAATGCCCCTAAGGAACTCGATCTTTTTCTTGAGGGTTTTCTCAACGCTTGTACCAAAAATTTCAGGACAGCGACCAAGCATCCTACTGATGGTTTCCTCATCAAGTCCCAAATCTTCCAGAAAATATACCACCTGGAAATAGCAGTGTAATCTAAGAATCCCAGAAAACCATTGTGGTGCTTGTTTCAGGTAATTTGGTCTATCAACAATGCATATTCAAAAGAGATACTCCAGCAGCCATCCAAACAACGCAACATTAATGGACTCCATTGTCTATGCTGGCTTCATGTCTAGAAATCTATACTCAAATGCACCTTAACATTTCTACAATGTCCACCAAGACAAAACATAGATACAGGAGGTATTGCATACATCTAATGGTGCTTGTATGGATGCATATCCAGTACCACATCGACCTACAGGGATTAGCATCCAAAACCTTAAGATCTACTATGATAATTCAGCCATGTTCCTATGTCCTAAAATTTGGGGACCATAACTAAGGCACACATGCAAACCAACCAGTGCTTTACTTTTCGTTTAATGTGGCCAGACATTCTACCTGTAAGCTAATTCACCAATCAATCACCAACCTGCAAAAATTCCTGAGGTTTCTGTTGTAGTAGCTGAGGACTCTTGGCAATGACCTGGCCCAACCTCTTGTCTCTGACACCTAATTCACCAAACTGATTAACCATCAGCCTCAGCTTGCCAATTGAACAACCCAAAAGATGTGGCCAGCTTTTGACAGATTGGTGAACACTGACTTCTGGAACCTGTCATGCAAAGAGGATAAAGTTACTTAAGTGAAAGCATACTTTGTTATTTCATGTATTTCTTTCGATATCATGCAGACAACAAAGAACTAGATTATGCATTGGAACCAGGGAGGAAGCAGACATACCGATAGACAACAACAGCTGACAGGAAAAGAAATGGGAGAAAGGAAAAAATAAAAAAATATCAGAGTGGCAGTAAGGCGGCAAAGTACCAGAACAGAGTCTAGGATCCCAGTCCCACGGCATTTTGGCAGCTTAAAAAAAAGAAAGAAAGCATATTGGCAGTTTTCTCATCAATTCTTGAAATCAAATTCCACTTTATTTTCCATACATGTGGTTGAACAATCCATACACGTGACAGACATAAAGAGTATCACCTATCCAGTGATATTGTTCAAACATGCATGCATGAATCATATTATTATCATAATATGGCAAAACTTGCAAATATGGAATATTGCAATCCATTACCTTCTCCATATCAAAGAAAGAATGGATTTCCTCACAGTTATCTTGAATGCTGGTAGACAGAATCCATGGATACTTAACCAACATCCGGCCAAAATCTTTGTCCCCTGCACCGAACTGAAAGACAAAGTGGGAACAGATACTCAAATAATGCATAGAACAGATGTCAAAAATATACAATGATAAATCAATTTAAGGATATAGTGAACAAGGACACTACAAATACAGAATTATGAAAATTATGACATTCCAATGAAATTGTTCTCTTCTAAGTCCAATAGATGCTACAGAGCAGAAATTCCAACTACTCAAATAACTCTAGCCAGCTTGAAAGTTTCTTCAGAAAACTATTTCTCTATCCTTACAGGGCCTATAGATGTTGCTAAAATTGAACAACGATCTTCGCTCTAGCCAATCTGAAAATTTTATTCGAAACCTATTTCTTTTTTACTAACATCACCATAAATTATCATGGCGCCATCCTGAAACACTGTACAGGTAAAAGTGACTATGACTATATATCATACACTTGGGTACGCTGCAGCTACGTGTACACCCTAAGATGCAAGGACACTTCTAAGAAGGTGACATGTTCATGTTGGACGTTTCTGAGCACCTGTATGTGGCAACATTCATGATCAATACTTGGAAGGTGAGATACAACTTCTTCATAACATGAAGATCTTAATTGCAAGAGATGTCAATTACATGAAAGAATGACACTCGCAACCGATAGATAATGATCAATCGTACACCCTTGATTCAGCCTACCAGCAACTGACCATCAACAAGCATCCAAAATACAAGGTCCTCAGCTAACAGAATAATTACATGGCTTTGTTCCCATAATAAGCACGAATCGAACATAGCAAATCAGACAAGTCAAAAGGTGACTTCATAATAAGACCTGTTTAACATCTTACATACGGAATCTTACTTTCTGAAAAGTCTTCATTCTTGATTTAATATCCTTCTCAACGTCATAGAAAATAATGGGTGGAAATAATAGAAGAATTTTTCTCATGCCTCCTTTGGGGACTCCAATATCTTCAAGAAATCCCACTAGGGGCTTCATACTGCATTCTACAGGTAGCAAAAGAAGGCGTGGAAATGATTCGATGAGACAGCAAAAAGAGGCATCATTGGAACCCAACGAGTCTAGACCTCCACGCCTTGCTTGCATCTGCAACAGAAATTCCAATTATAGAACAAAAAAACCTAGTTAATAATTCCCTGCTCAATAAATTCTAATAAGTTATACTAACCTTCTCAAAAAATGACAAGGTTTGTTGGACATCCTCATCCACAGGAATAGAGAGATGCATCATCATACGGCGAGCATTTTTCCCAATACGTCCTTCATTACTGTCAGAAAAGAATATTTCCTTCACATACTTAACCTATAAGCAAATTGCAGAATAAGAAAAAGAAAATAACACTCTATCCAGCTGATAAAAAGATCAAAATTCATAAAGAAATGAATACTGCATTCAAAAATCAAGGTAGATTCTGATTTAGAATGATTTTGAAACCAGAATTCATCTTTTCCATTTCCGTTCAACAGATAAGATATTTGAATGTCGTGGAAACAGCATCTCAGGTTGCAGGGTAAGGGTGCATACATCTAACCTTCCTCAAACCCCGCAACAGTAGGAGTCCGTGCACAAGGCACGCCCTTAGATAAGTTTTTGAATGTAGAGAGAGCATCAGTATGTTGATAATGAATGTGATTATGAAACAAGCATCACCAAAAATAATAACACAAAGGATTAAAAACAAGTACTAGAACAAAGGGTGTCACACTAGTGTTTTTGTCTCCCATGAGCGCCTCTCTTACCTTGTGAATGAGGTCGGGAAGTGTCTGGGAAGAGAGATAACGGGCAACACGTAAGGCAGAAGACAGTCTGAGGCCGAGACTTTCGAAGAAAGGAAGCAACCCCTTATCGCCTTTCTGCTTCGCCATTCGATAGACCTTCTTTTTGAACGAAGGTGAACTCTCTACGCCACCTTTTTCACCGCTCCAAGAATTCCACAAGGAGAGCTCGTCCAAGTCGCGAACGCCATCGATGACCATCGCCAAGTACTTGGGAGAATTCGAAGCTATTTTAATGGATTCCTCCTTCGAAACTCCATAATCTTGAAGAAGCTCCGACACGGCCTCTCTCGCCTCTGCTTCTTCTTCTTCTTCCTCATTAGACGACGACGATGTATCTCCGACTGCTACAAAGAACGGCGGTAGCGGGCGTGGATGAAAAATTCGATTTTTATGATTGGGAGGTGAGAAATTGTGGGAAGGAAAGGGTTTTTGACAAGGTGGAAGATTGCAGTGGATTGGTGGTAAGAAGAGAAGACGATGATAATGATTGGCAATGTTAATTGAGACAGTCGAATTCCTTAGGTTTGGAAACAAAAACAAATTCGAAGACATTTGTTACAATTACCTTAACCTAAAACCCTAAGGAAGAACATAAGGTCGGTATACAGATATAAATCATACCTAAAACCCTGTTCTTGCTGCTGCTTTTTTTATAGGGTTAATTGCATCAATGCTCATTGAACTTTATCATTTATTAAATTTTTGTCTCTAAAATTTTAATTTAATTAATTAAGTCTTCAAAATTTTGGGTTTTGAACAAAGTTATCCTTCTCCCCAATTGTCGTCCAAATTGCTAATGAAAAACAAACAACACGTGTAAAAGACAGAAGGACATCACTCTCTTTTCCCCTTATCTTCTTGCCAATCCAACAATTGGGTCACGCGCAATGCACACTGTGAAACATCAAATCTTCACTTTAGACGAGGCAAGAGAGACCAATTTCATTTGTTTAGGGTTCTAAATGAAATTGAAATTGGAGAAATCGGAGAAATTGGGGTTTGCAACTTTGAGGTGCATCATCTTAAGAGAATTGAAGGTTGACAACAATGGCTGAAAAGTTCAATGAGTATTAATTGGAGGATGAAAGTTTTATTAAAGATTATGGTAAACATTTACCGTTTTCAATTTGGTTTGAAGATGACGTTTTGCATTATTTTTTCTTCAAAAAATCGTATTATGGCAACTAGTTGTATGTAAAGAACTATAGATTTGAGTGCGTTTCAAAAAATTGTGGCATGCAGGACCCTAAAAAGGAACTAATATAAAACTGATGTTTATTCTGTGTTGGTTCAGTGGGTCCTTTATGCACTAATATAAACTCAGTAACACGTGGTCTCCTAATTTTTAGTTTTGTGTTGTAGAGAAAAATTCCAAATATTTTACTTTGATATTGCACCATAACAGTGAATTTCGAAAGAACCCTAAGATGGTTTATGATGGGGGTAAGGTTGAATACTTCCACCACAAACACCTAGAAAACATGTCAGTGCTAGAGCTTGACGAAATGGTTAAGCAGTTAAGATATGAGGGGGATATTTTGAGGTATCATTAATGTAAACCAGGAAAGGACTTGAATTCTGGGTTAATTTGTTTGTTTTACGACATACATGTATTCACTATTCTCAATACCTTGCACCCCACCACTGTTGTTGAAGTTTACATAGAACACCGAACAATCGAGGATGTTATTAATGGCCAAGACTTCTCAGAAGATGATTTTGGGAATGGACATTCAGTTTTAATTGAGGAGATTAATGAAGATGATGTAGATGAGTTAAAACATAGTCAGGTTACTGAAGTCTCCAAGAAAGGTTGTAGTGAAGTCAATGCAAGTGGTGATGTTGGAGGAGAGGGCTAGAGAAATGACGGTGGAGAGGGCGAGAGACTCAATGGAGGAGAAAACCATGAAGTCAATGGAGGAAAGACCAGAGAGTCAATGGAGGAGAGGACCAAAGAGTCAATGCGGCGACAGATAGAAACTTTGAGGAAAATGACATACTTGAGGAGAGAACCAGAGAGTCAATCAGGGAAAGTGACAATTCTGATTATTATGAGTTTTATGGTAGTGAATATGACATTGACGAGGATGACATATTGTATGATACATATGTGAATAAAGATGTTGAATAGACTAGTGTAGGTGATAAAAGTAAGGGTGTGAAGGATGATACTTCAGCTTTTCATGGTACAGATAAAAGTGATTTGCATTATGACTATGCAGATTTAGATGAATTATGTAGTTTTGATGATTCATCTTCAGAGGATGATGGTGTCAGTATGAGGAAGACAAAGTTCCTTGAGTTTAGGGTTGACATTGACTTGAAAAACCTATCTTTCAAGCTAGGAATGCTGTTTGAAACAACAATTAAGTTGAAGGCAACAGTAAGGGAATATGCAATTAAGGATGGAAAACAAATAATATTCAACAAAAATGATCATGTTAGGCTTAGGACAGTCTGTAAAGGGAAATGTAAGTGGTTGTTATTTGCAAATGTCATGGAAGATGGGAAAACATTCCAGGTTAAAACATTCAATGACAAGCACATATGTGGTAGATCATTTCACAACAAGAATGCAAACTCAACTTGGATTGCTAATACATATGTGGATGATATTAAGGGGAATCTTGCATGCCTAGTGGATGCCTTCATAGAAAAGATAATGAAGGAACACCAAATTACTGTAACACCTTATCAGATTTATAGGACAAAAAGAAGGGCACAGATAATGATTGAAGGTAGCCATGCAGAGCAATACTCCAAATTGAGTATGTTGAGGAGTTAAGGAGGACTAATCCTAATAGTACAACAACTCTAAAAATGGATGATTTGTCAGAACTGGAAGGTGAGTCAAGGTTTGAAAGAATGTATATTTGTCTGGATGCACTGAAGAAGGGTTTTAGAGAGGTATGTAGACCAATATTGTGTTTGGATGGTTACCATTTAAAAGGTCCTCATGGTGGCCAACTTCTCTCAGTAGCGGAACTGGATGCCAACAATAATATGTTCCCAATAGCATGGTCTGTGATTGGTCATGGTTTCTAAACCTTATGATGCAAGACCTTAGAGTAAGGAACACCATTTGATGGACTATAATGTTTGATAAGCAAAAAACACATTTATTTTTATCTTTTTTTTATTCTATTCTACATTAAAATACTGTCATTGAACTGACTTTCATATGTTAGTGTATATAGGGGCTAGAACGTGCAATTTATGATCTGCTTTCAAATGTTGAACATAGAAATTGTGTAAAACATTTATACAACAATTTCAACAAGAAGCAAAAGGGTAAAACACTTAAGGATTTAGTTTGAGTTGCTGTAAGATCAAGTTATGTAAACTTGTTTAAACTGAATATGGAAAAAATAAAAACTGAAGATGCAAAGTCATGTGCATGGTTTGATGATAAACATCCAAGGAATTGGTCTAAGTCCCATTTTAGCACACATCCTAAATGTGACATATTACTTAACAATATGCGTGAGTGCTTCAATGCTTACATACTTGGGGCTAGAAACAAACCAATCATATCAATGTTGGAAAGAATTAGGGGTCTCCTTCTGAAGAGATTGTATGCGAAGAGAAATGCAATGACAAAGTGGGAAGGTGAAATATGTCCCAAAATTCAAGAAATTCTAGAGAAAAACAAGAAAGATGCTTCGTTTTGCATAGCATATTATTTTGAGGGTTCTAAATTTGAAGTTAGACATTATTATGGTGATTAGTTTGTTGTGGACTTTGATGCCCAGACATATGCATGCAGAAAATGGGATTTGAGTGGCATTCCATGTTCCCATGCCATTCAGGCTATTGCATACAAGGGGGAATGAGTTTGAGAAAAGTATGTGCATAAGTGATATCACAAAGAGACGTATACGAAACTTATGGGAATAATGTTAATCTCATTAATGGACAGAAGTTATAGCCTACATCCACTGAGACCCCCCCATTTACCTCTATTTTACCATAAACAACCAGGGATGTAAAAATCGAGAATTTTTTTTTATTAAAAATCCTAATTAAAGGGGTAGAATAGTAATTAATTGTTAAAACACGGTCAAAAACATGAATTTTTATAAAATTCAAATGATGAAACTGATCTCATTGTTGGATTCGTCTCGCGAAATCTAGCTATGCAGTAAATTTAGAATTCTGAGACAGTTGGATATTTCACGTGTTACAAAGCGATCGGGTGTCGCACGACTAAAATAATTGCGATCAAATTTTATTCGTGGGACCTGAAAAATAATTTAAATCTAGTTCGATAAAAATATATTAAACTTAACATAAAAAAATTAATTGATTCGGAATAAAATTGGACCCATTAAAAAAAATACGTGTGGCGCAATGAGGGTTACACATTTAAAATACATATAGTGGAAGAGAAAAGTGAGTCTTTTTCTTTATTTTTCTCCTTCCTTAGATCTACGAAGATTGAACCGTTTAATTACTTTGGGCCAAAAATTAAAGTTGCTTTACTCAACGAGAGTTATGCAACCATACCAAAGATCGTATTTTTCTCCAAAAAAATATCAAAGACGAAAATCTAAGCCTAAGGTTTGGGAAGCTAAATTCGGGTTTTCCTTAGAGTTTTACTACGTGGGCTCACGCTACGAGAGATAGGGTTTTTTCCTATTTAGATGTAATTTCAACTTAAAAGATGACATATGAAATAGGTAGGCTAAGAGAGTATATCACATGTTAGGTCTTGATTAGTGTAACTAGTGGATCAAATATAAGATTTATAATTAACCTTGTAATTAGTAAAATTCTATTATAATTAACTTGGTGTAAGTTAATGTTAGTGATTTAAAGTATGTTATTTGTATATTATCATGACTTGATGTTTTAGTGACATATCAAGTTTAATAAAATTATTAGCTTGTTATGTAATTATGAAATAATATTTATGTTTAATAATTATTTAGCATATGATTAATGTGGTGAACTTGTGCTTATGTTTATAGAATTAATAAAAATGTTGTCATGTCGGCAGATGTGACGCCCCAAAAATCGGGGGTCCTTTGTCAATCCGTTGATCATTCATCAACCTGCGGAATACCTGTGGATACCGTGTTACTTGATATCACGCCGTTATGCCCTATTTACCAGAATCCATAATTTAACAAAATTTGGATAGAGTCTCCTTTGTACGGGGAGCTCTACCCAAAAATACAACCTATGTAATCATACAACATTGACCACATCAGATCCATTTATCCATACTCATATAACAACATGCAATGTTACATTAAAATAATCCATGTAACTTTGAATACAATTCTTTTACATATATTACATGCCAAAAACTAAATTACAAGTCTAGTCTTACAAAAACATCATTTAAAGCCACATTTTGGCCCCGATTGAGAGCCTTTCACCAGCGTGAACCCCGCATCTGAAATGTTTTCTCATGTAGGGTGAGTCATGCCTAATAGGATATCTCCTAAAGAGGTTACTCCCCAACCTAGATGCATATGAAATGTCATATGCAATTTCAACAAGCAACATACATTCCAAACAAAATCATGTGTCTTTGTTGGATGTTACACATCGAATGACTATTTTATAAAACAAAATCATGTGTCTTTGTTGGGTAGCGGAGTTTTGGTGTTGCACCGTCGGTTCCGCACA